GTATTTTTTTTTTTTTTTTTTTTTTTTTTTTTTTTTTTTTTCGTTCCTGCCTTAACCCGTCACTTTAGACCCTATATTCCTATAAAAAAATGCATGTTTTAGTACGCTCCACCACCACTCCAAGTTTGTCCCATGATCTATGAAACACCCTGTATACAAATGTTGTAACAGAATCATTGATTGCTTAAATTTAAAAAAAAAATGTTAGTATTGAAGTGAAAAGCAGATTGCTCAATCAGTATAGGAAAAGTGATGAAATGATAAAAAATGTAATTTACAAATAAAATAAAGTATTATCTCATTAAAAATTATATTTTTTACAGTCTTTTCCCACTTACTATTCTATATCGTTATACATGATTTCATTATCAGCAATTACAAGGCTTTATTCTTCTGATGACTCAGATATCACCTAAAGACTATCATAAAAACTTAAAACTGCACTGTAAATTTATAACATATTTAATTAAATATATTAATTTGCCCCTCATTTTAATTTAGATGTCAAATGCAAAACGAGAAAGGGATATAGATAGAAAATACATATGTGGCAGTATCAAAAGAAAATTAAATCCAATAAAAAAGTACAGACTAGAAACTTTTTTTTTTGTTTTTTAAATAAACATAGGAGACTAAGAACCTGTTGACCTATCAACAGAAGACTCTCAAAATGTTGAGAATAACAAGCATCACAAGAATGGCGACAACGATCAATTGCAAAAAGCCGAGTTAAGTGCAGCAGTTGACTGCTTAAATGATAAAACAGTAGAACTTTTCTTAAAAGAAAATATTGAGAATGATGATCATCACAAAGACGAAGAACAATATCAAGAAGAGATTAGTACAGTGTACTAAGTAAATGAAGAATCAAAACATTAAATGAACACAACATATGACCCTGCCACATAGCCTGAGATAATTTATAAGGTATTTCTTCCTGGTGTGCCTTCGTGGTGTAGTGGTCAGCACACTGAGCCGGTATTTCAGAGGTCCGTGGTTCGATTTCCAGCTAAGGCAGTTGCTAATTTTTCATCTCTCTTGCTCCAAAAATACCTAATGTCTCTACAAATTAACCAACGTATGAGTGATCATTTAGCTAAAAAAGGACCACCAAAAATTCTGTTAATTTTCTCCACCAAGACGATGGCGCAAGGCTTATTTTAAAAGAAAATTCAAAGGTTTATCGGAAAAGAAAGCTGCCGGGCAGTGAAATCACAACTCGACCTTCGGCTATTTGTCATGAAAAAATAAATAAAATATTGCTTCTGCTTTCGTCCTTTTAGTGAGGAACATTTCTGTAGCTACTACAGAATTTAATAACTGGCCGAATAGCTAGCTACACAAGAATGAAAGATCATAAAAATTCAAAGCGTCATTCAATCAATCAATATTAAAATGTATAGAATTGTTAAAAAAGATTCTTAGCTGAAATTACTATGGATAAAGTGGAACAGAAATTGTACAACAGAGAAAAATGCCATTGAAACGTTTTTGAAAAAATAATTTCTGTAATACAGCTTTCAGTTGAATATAATTTAGCAATTAGAGGATCTGTGAAAATACTGGGTGATCACATTCATTTGTTACAGCAGGACCGCCTCCAGTTCGAAAAGGTTCTATCCTCTCTTCCGCTTTCCGTTTTGTTGCTTTTCTTTTCAAATTTCTGTAACAATTATACAACTGCCTTTCAGTCCGTGTAGTAACTCCGGGAATACTGTTAAATTATTTTTCAATTAAATCCCACGTATTTTGTTTTTCTTTGTTCGTTACTGAATTGATAACTTTATTTTCGATTATATGTCGGTACTTTAACACACATTCTGCGAAGGCCGCTTTTCGAGCGAAGTATAGTTTTATGTATGTGCATCAACCATGTTTGTTTATAAAATACAACCTATCATCAGAATTCAGCTTTGAAAACTGCAGATTATGTCGTAAATGTCACACGAATACTTTCAACTAATGACAACGCTTCTTACAAATAATCCAGGTAGCTCTCTTGAATCACGTAATTCAGTTATGGAGAATACCAATTATGGTAACCATAGCTCAGACTGTGAATTACCACTGATACATGGATTCCGTGATACATGAATTAACCAGCTGTTGGTGAATACGGGGAGATTACCTTCCGATCTAATAACCAAGGATGCCATAAACTATACCTTAAATTCCCCATATGTAAACAGTTTACTTCAGACAATGAGATATTTAAATCCTATTTCTACTGCACTACACTGTAGTCCTAATTTTCATCAACCCCTCATTGAAAACTTGCTCTCATATATTTTTAAGATCTGATAAAGTTAAACCTCCATTGACTTCACCTTATACTGAACCTCATTTAGTCGTTGACAGAAATGATATGAATTTTATTATTCATGTAAATGGAAAAGTACTACAGTTTCAATTGATCGCGTTGAAACCTGTTCACCACCTGCCAGATGACATTACTCATATCTCATCTTTACCTCTTCCAGTTTCAACTCCCTCCCCATGATGCTTTAATAAAAAGTCTACTACTAAAAGTGGGCGTAAGGTCCGCTTTCCTAAGCATTTAGTCACGGACTACATTCCTTGAGTACAAAGGTGTGCTATATTTAATGTTTTGCATTCCTCGTATTTTCCAACTTCATCTATATCCCTGCATAGTATATTTTTATTATATTGTGTTTTATATTCTATATGTCACTATTATAGCATTATAACATCATTTTTTGTATATATTGTAAATATTTACTATAGCTTTTCGGCTGCCCTGTTCCGAGTAACTCAATCTCACTACAGGTCGACTCTACCTTTGGGCACGTCGTGGAGGTTCAACCTCCACTATTACCCTCCAGTAGAGCCGCGCACCACCTGGATAAGACACCAGGCAGCACCGGTCGTCTAATGCTCCTGCCAGTCGCTCGGGCGAGCCCGTCGCAGCGGGACATTACCCAGCGACCCCGAGGGAAAACCCCCGGGTTACTAGCACAACGCCGCGCTAGGACGTGCCAGACTCCGAGGCCGGCCAATGAGTGACCTTTCCCAGAGCCTTCAGAACCACCAAGTTCATAAATTTTATACCCCCGTGGCCGAGACTGCCTAGGTACAGATCCTAGCCAGTAGCTTCGCAGATAATCTGTCATCGTGCCCTCGTCACTGGGGACATACTTTGTAGCATTTCATCGTGCGAGCGTTCTGTTTACGTCACAGCTCGTGTCTCGCCTCACAGCCAAAGAATATGTATTGTATGTAGACTTTCTTTGTCACAGCCTCTTTTGGCGGGTAAGCTTACTATAAAGTAGTTCTATTGGCGGGTGTCGTTGGAGTAGAAAGACGCTACGCAATGCTCCCGGTACGAGTCTCATTCCTGTGTGTATAATAAAATATATTTTTATATCAAATGTTGTTTCATTCATATCCAGGAGTCAGATTAACCAATATCACATTTAATATAAACCACTCTTCACCATCAAACTTCTTTGTAATACGGTCTGGGAATGTATTCAAAGTGCTAAAGCAGTAAGGATCTTTTGCAATTAGGATCTCTTGCAAATACAATTAAAGATTATAAATTCATAGGTTCTTTAATTTTTTGGCATGATTTACTTAACCATACAAGTATCGTAAAAGTATTTTAAAGCTTTTCTGTAGACTAAAAAGTAATTTAAGCACTGCTGTAAAACTTACAGAAAATTTGTCAGACTTTAATCATTTTCAGTCATTTCTCATTATTCAAAATATGTTTCCAAACTATATACAGTCAAAAGTCGTTAATCCGGACTCGTCGGGACTTCGGCGATTCCGGATTATAGATCATCAGTTTAAATCTCGTAAGATGGCATGCAGAAATTCTAAAATTAAAAAATATGAAAACCGTAATATGAAAAAAGAACAATTATGATCAAGGGTATCAAAATTTGCAAAAAGAAAAGCTTAATATTATTTGTTTACTTTATTAAACATTTCTTTCAATGTAAGTGTTAAGTTTTGCTTCGTTTCAGTGATAATACTTTCTCTTTAATTCTATTAAACAGAATAATTTCTGTTCAGTTAAAGTTCCGCGTTCAAGTCATATAATTGCTGTGTCAAGAACACCACTAATTTGTCGTCGAAATTTTTGTTTCAATAACCTCTGTCATTTTATTCGCTATTGGAGCGAATTATAATGACGAGGAACTTGTTTTAAATCATATCAAAGAGGAGCATATCGAGATGAAAACTACTTTGGTAAGGAATTAAAGCCAAATAAAATAAAAAACTGCGCTGAAGATAAGGATAGTGCTGACAAATCAATTCCAATTCATACGCGCCCACACGCCGAGCGCGTGAAATTGATAAACAGATTCGGATTCAAAACAAACTTTCGCTTTGATCTTTACATATTAACAAATATATATGAAATTTATTTGATATAATCGAAAGTTAAGCTACTTTATAAAATTGCTTTACAGTCTGCAAAAAATAATAAGCCGGATGCATTCGAAAATTAGGAACAACGCATCATCAACATTAACGAAATAGATAATTAGATAATTTTAGCTTACGTCCATTATACATAAATGCGCACGCGAAAACGTATTCTGCACTTGCGCACACTCATATGCGCAGTCGATAAGGTCTACGCGCACGCGTGAACGCCTCTGCGCATGTGTCACGCGCGCATGCGCAAAGTTTTTATTTATGTCCGGATTATAGTCATTCCGATTATGGGTGTCCGAATTAACGACTTGACTGTATATATATATATATATATATATATATATTATATATATATATTCAAACTATAAATATATATATATATATTCAAACTGTAAAAAATATATTCAAAACTATGTAATTTTGGAGGAAATGAAACAGCAAGTACAGACATGTATTGTATAGATACGCAAAAATGTCTACATAGGTTGGCAGAACATTGCAGTATGAGGAAGCTCGTATTGTGACTACTTCCTATTGAAAAGGCTTGTTGCTTAGCTTTAATATTCTAAATATACATACATACGACAGAAATACAACTTCGATTTTTACTTCTGCTTGTGCTTAGGTGCCGCAAATCAAGATGGCATCATGCATGGGATGTTTCAGACGATGTTGTGATGGAAATGTTGGTAGTAGTTATGTTCAGATGAAAGAACAGCCTTTGGTTTTACTTGATACATCACATATGGGTAAAGGACATCTGCTGCTGTTTTGCTTCTGCCGTGTTATATCAATCTTATCATTAAAATGAAATTTACTAAAACCTCATGATTCTATAACGCATCTAACCACTACTGCATTAACATCCTGTGTCAACATTTGATTATGGGTGATCTTACCTGAGAATTTGATCCTGTAATTTTATTTTTATTTACATACATCTTAGACCTTGTCATTGGAAGATCGAGAAAAAATATGCTCTAAGAACTAAGCTTTCAAAATTATCAGAATAAATTTTGGTATTTAAAATATTTTAAAGTACTTGCTTATATTATTGCGTGTTGTTAAAGTGAAAATATAGCGTTAAATATTTAATGAAGTTTGAAGGTCATTATATAAGGATGGTATCCTTTTTTTTTTTTTTTTCAAATGTTGAATAATAATTTTTCCGTTCGTGAAATAAATTAGCAATTTTTATTTGAATCTTACTAATTTGTCTGGAAAATCAGCAATCTTACCAAGAAAAAGAAAGCAATTTTATGCATTTAATTAATTGTAAATATTTAAGTAAAGTATTACTTTAAAATAAATTCCGATATCTTATTGAGAAAGCTCCTCTCTGATTACGAAATTTTTCATTGTGTAGCACTTCTACTTTTACATTTCACTAGAATATTGGTTACTTTAATGATTTCTTTTTATTATTCTGACTAAATCATATCATATAAGCATAATGATATGTTATTTTTCTATTTTATTGTTCAAATGAAACATGGCTTCAAAATGTGTGAATATATGTGTTGATAAAAATAAATACCTGCATTATAAATATGTCAGCTGTCAAGAATTAAACTAGGAATGAATAGGAATTAGTAAATATTATTGAATTTTATGACCAAAGAAATATGTATTGCACATTACAAAAATAATAGTAGAGAAATAATTTTTATACCAAATCATGCCATAAAATGTTTGCGTAATTAAATTAATAAATATTAGCTGTATGATTTGGTAATCTTAATGCAAATTATTTACTATCGGTTATAATTGATGGTAAAAATTATTTATTGTTATTATTACTAATAATAATTAATGGCATTATTGTCATGAACAGTTTTCTCATAACTGAATTGTGACATACCTCAAAATTACCTTTAATTATTGTAATATATTTGTGAAAAAAAGCTTTTCTTCATAGTTTCATGGTTCACGCTTCAAGTTCAAGATAAAATAAATTTTTTAAAGCTTGGATTATATCGGATGTATTTAGTGGTAGGTAAATAATTATTATATATATATATATTATAAGGAATTATAATATTTTCCTATACATGTGTTTGTGGTGTAACTGGTTAGCACACCCAGCTAGTTAGCAGAAGATACAGGATTCGGATCCCAGTAAGGCAAGCTGAGTAAATCACTGAGCACTGTTCTGACCTGCATTTGATTCCAGGCAAACAGACTGGTTGCATGTGTGTTTTTATGGTTTTCCCCATATGTAACATGTATATGACCCAGTTTCCTTTAGAAAGTCCACCATGAAGGCATCCCTTCCCTTAGGTGGATAGCCCTAGTGTGCATTGCCATAATCAAACCAAACCCACTGAGAGCACAGGTGACTTTTTGAATTTTCCTCTTTGAGAATGTGATTGATTGGAAATTAATTGACTTTTGAAGGGGAACAAATCAGTGTCAGATTATACCTCAATAATTAATAGAAGTGAATGTGTTTCATCATCCTATTGTGCTATAACTAATCATAAAAGTCAAATTATGTCAAAAAATAAAGAAACCAAAAATGCTGAAAATTTATATTATACTTTAAAGCAAGAAAAAAGCTTAATTAAAGATAATTTCAAATAAAAGTTGTAGAAAGAATTAAACAGTTCAAAAACAAAATAAATGTTAAAAAATAATAAGAATTGTCATTAATTGTTGATATACAGGATGTACCATAAATATTGCAACAAACTTCTATTGAAGGTAGGGCACATCATAAGGATTAAGAATTGCACAGGAACCCATGCCCAGAAACATCACTGTACGCTGCCAGAGTGTGCTCTACAGGAGAGTGCTAGTGGAAAGTGAGGATTGCTTCATTTGAGCGGTGTGAAGAGCATGAATGCTATATGAGTGGAGAGCCTGCAGACATGCACTTAGTGTATGGAATAGCTGAGGGCAATGGACGAGCCACCACAGTTTGTTCGCACATCTGCATCAAAATTTGTGTGGCTAATGATCATTAAGAAGTAGCAGGACTAGTGGGTCAAGCCATGATCGATTCACTCAGTCGTTAGGGAAGAAGATGTGTTAGATATGGTGGAGAGTAATCCAAGAACCAGCATACGTGTCGTTGCCTGTCAGTGTGCATTTTGCACAGTGGTTTCTGCAAGAAAGTGCCTGTGATCTTAATTTCCCAGCTTGTGTGCTGTTCACGGATGAGGCCACATTCACTAGGAATGGCGTATTCAATCACTGCAATCAGCATTTATGGATTCAAGAAATCCCCCACGCGTCACAACAACGCTTCGAAGTCAATGTGTGGGTGGGTTTGGTCGCCGACTGCTTAGTCCTTCCGTACCTTTTACCATCCAGGTTGAATGCCGCAAATTATATGATCTTTCTGGGGCAAGTTCTTACCTCCTTGCTTGACAATGTTCCACCAAATGTGAGGTACAACATGATGGGACGCCTGCTCATTTTGGACTGGATGTTCATAGCCATCTGAACAGATCATTCCTGCATCGATGGATTGGGCATGGTGGACCAGTTCCCTGGCCCCCCATGCTTACTGTATTTATCGAGCTCTTATTTCATTTTGTAGGGAGCCATCAAAAGTGTCGTATATCATAATCCTGTTGTGTCTGAAATTGATCTCGTGGCAAGAATCGCCTGCGCAGCTGCTACAATCAAAGAAACTCCTGGTATGTTTGAACATGTTCGCCAATCAATGGTCCATTGGTGTTGGGCATATTTGGCATCTGATGGTGCAAACTTCGAGCTTCTATTGTAACATTCAAGCTGTCAAAACACCACTTCTATTCATGTCCAATAAATGTTTAAAATTAATCACTCTTTTGTGTCCTGTCCCATCTTCTACCTGTGCTACCACTTACTCCTAACATTTTCCAGGTATAGGTTCCTATGCAGTTCTTAATCCTTATCGTCTGCCCTGCCTTTCCTAGTCGCAACATTTAGGGCACACCCTGTATATATATCAGTTAATCATTATTTATAGAGTACAAAGTCTGTCATCCGAACTCATCAGGACTTCAGCAATTCTGGATTATAGATCATCAATTTAAATCTGGTAAGATGGCATGCAGAAATTATATAATTAAAAATATGAAACCGTAATTTATGAAATAAAGAGCAATTATGATCTAAGGGTATCAAAATATAGAAAAAAAAGCCTACAATTTATTGTTTACTTTGAAAAAATTTCTTTCAAGGTAAGTTGTTTAAGTTGCTTCGTTTTTTTGTTCAATACTTTCTCTTTACTTTTATAAACGACATAATTCTTGTTCAGTTACAAAGATCCACTGTTCAAGTCCTGTAATTGCTATGTCGAGAATACCGACTAACTTATCAATCGAAATTTTGTCGTTTTCTATAACCTATCTGTCACTTCTTCACTATCGGAAGTGCGCATAGGTAAACGCTGTACTGGTTTTTGATCTCCAGATACTAGCATTCAATACACGAAAAACAGAAACTACGTGGTTTTAATGAAGTTTGCTTCACTATCAATAAGTCCATGCTTTGTGGTCAAGAAGGCACCTGAAAAATTAAACTAAATCCTTGAGAACACTTAAACCGGCAAAAAGCTGCTCACTGTAGTTACACACAGAAATCACGCTGGAAAAACATCGCCGTAATTCTGGAAAAAAACTTGTGAAGATGCCGCCTTCATGAAAAAGGATGCGCCCACAGCAGTTGCTCACATCGTAGCCGCCTTGCAGAATCCAGGAGCCAGTTCATCTCGGACTGGAACCACGGTACTTACGCATCGCAATATTGTCTTCCAATGAGGGCTGGAAATGGCTCACCAAGGAGCAATGAAACAGGAACTAGAAGGAATAAACCAGAGCGACGCGAAATACTTATACCTGAAGTAGACATGCTGTCATCTCACGGCAACAAATCAGCTATCGGCACAACTCAGCTTTCCGGATGACGTAACATCAAGCTTCGTTTTAGCATCTTAATTAGGTTGGAAAAATCCGTTCTTAATACAAACAGTAGCAGTAAAAAACGAAGTAGAAATAACTACTATATCCCCTTAAAATAAGAACTAAGCCTTATGTAAAAGTTAGAAATATTTCAAGGAGGAGAGATGATGCAGAAAAAGGGTTACAATAGGTCATATTTTCCAACAGTTTTATGTGCATGCGTAGCGAATGTGCGCATTAAACACGCAAGCTTAAGTTTGTGGCTTTGAGATCCAGATTACGGACTTTGTGCTGTATTTATGTATGTATATTGATTGACATATATATGCCAATTCAATTTTGAGAAGAAAGGTGCAGAAAATTGATAAAAAAACTGATATATATAAATGTAATGATATAAAATGAATGATTTGGAGCTTGGCAATGGCATGATAGATGAGTAGTGAAGAAACTTGGCAAGGCAAACATGTCCGTATTCAAGATAACTTTATTATTGAGGAAAAGCAAGTCGGGATTCGCAATATTTGGTTCACATACGGACAAGCATCTTATGCGCTCTACATTTTTGTTAGATCAGCATATATTCCTTGAACAAAGAAGGTAGCTGCAAAGCTTCTGGCCGGGAGCGAAAGTGACGCATCAGTTTATAGAAAGAAGGGAGGGAGTCAGTTTTTAGTTATAGTTTACAATTCGGTGATTGGTCAAGAGGCATCTGCATTAATGGTTACGTAAGATCGCATGATTAATTTGAATGACGCAGTTTAGACTTAAGTGCTATTTTTAGGACAGATAGATGAAGTTCCCAAGTGAAATAGAAAATAAAAGAGGTTATAGTGAATTAAATTTAGAAGTTTGCTTTCATATTTTTTATCTTACATGTATATATACAGTCAAAAGTCTTTAATCCGGACTCGTCAGGACTTCGTAGATTCCAGATTATAGATCATCAGTTTAAATCTGGTAAGATGGCATGCAGAAATTATAAAATTAAAAATATGAAACCGTAATTTATGAAATAAAGAGCAATTATGATCTAAAGGGTATGAAAATTAAAAAAAAAGCTTAATATTTATTTGTTTACTTAATTAAACATTTCTTTCAACGCGCGCATGCGTAAAGCATACATTACACATAGTCGAAATTAGAAAATTGCAACCAGAACACTATTTGATGTGTATTCGTGGTATTTATAATGATGAGGAATTTGATTTAAATCATATCAAAGACGGAGTTACATCGAGATGAAAATTATACATTTAGTAAAGATTATAAGCGAATAAAATAAAAGCATCTGCCCTGAAGATGAGGATAGTGCTGTCAGATCAACTTCCAGTTCATTGCGTGCTGCGACGTCCCCCCCCTGCAGAGCAGCACGAAATTGATAAACAGATTTCGAAATGGTTAGAGAAACAAAGGATATGCTTTATCCATTTTTTGCAGCAAATTCCACTTTTGTTTGATGGACATCGAAACTGCTTTCGCTTTGTAGATCCTTTGGTAGCTCCAGAATCGGAAATTCTTTTTGACATAATCGAAAGTCAAGTTACTTTTAAAATTGCTCTACAGACTGCAAAAATAATTAGAAGATTAAGGAACAACGCAATCTGCAACATTAACTGAATTAGATAATTTTAGCTTAGCTTATACCGTCCATTATACATTAAACGCGCATGCGTAAAGTTATTATGTGCATGCGTTGACGCATGCGCAGAAAGTTTGTAGCTTTGAGCTCCGGATTATGAACGTCCAGATTAATGACTTTTGACTGTATATATATTTATTTTAACAAAATAAAGTTCATTAATTGAAATAAATTATAGTGAATGTATAGTATCATGCAAAATATAAGTCTTAGAGAACTGTTCAAAATTGTTAATATAAATAATAGCTGTTGCTAACTTCAGCTGTATCTCAATTCAGATTGAATTTATTTTTTGACATTGCCATTTAATTGTAAGTATTCTTATTAAGCTGTGCAATTATTATATATTTAATGTTGTAATTTATAGGACAAGAAGTTGTCATTGTTAAAAATGGTCAAAGAGTTTGTGGCACCGGTGCTGCATTAGCAAATGTTCCAATTGTACAGAATAAAGCCTATTTTGAAATGAAACTGCAGCAGTCTGGTAAGTTAATAGTAATAAATATTTAATACATTCTATTTAGTAGAAGTGATTACAAAGAGAAAAATAATATTAAGTAAACATAGCAAAGGATTTCCACAAGATGTTAGAGGTGTAAAACTGGACCAACAACCTTTTAATAAATTTATTTCCTATTTTTTATGCAATATGTGATTTATTTATTCCAAAATTTAAAGCATTAATTATATGTGTTAATTAACCAATATGTGTTAAGTCACATATAGTAGGAGTATTAGTACCCCTTGGCAAAAATTAGCGATTTTTGGCTATATATGGATACCGAGTTTGTGCAATTCTTTGACTTGTTATTTTGGCTTGTGTAGTGTCAATTTTTGCCCCAAAAATTGACACTACTTAAATCAAAAATAACAAGACAAAGAATTACACAAACTCGGTATCCATGTACACATCGACTAGACTTCTTAAAAAAAAACAGAGAATTGCACAAACTTAGCATTCCGCACTCCTTTGACTTTATCCATTTACATATCAACCTATTTTCAGTTAAAAAAACATCGGAGAATTGCACAAACTAGGCATTGCGCACTTCCTTGACTTTGTCCATGTACACATTGAACTATATTCACTTAAAAAGTTAAAGGAGCAGCCAACAAAAAAATATATAATCTCAATACACTACATTTTAAATCAAACAATGAAATAACATAAAGAAGGAAATTTATCTTTGCACTGCACAAAGGAAATATCCACTTACCTTATTTACGAATTAACATGTCTTCAGTCAAATAAAATTCGTTAACAGCATCCAAAAACTTCCTTAAAATTATCTGAACTATAATCTGTGTACTGGCGTTGCCACATAATTTCACAAAATAAGAGTCGGAAATATCCTCCGTAGCGACGTTCGACCACACGCATTTCGTTCCTACAAACAGGATACCTAATAATGGCTACTAAGTAAATCTTCATATACACACCAGGCCTTTCCCTTTTCTTTCCAAATCATACAGAAACTTCAAATTAAACTTATCACATTCAGCTATTTTCCCATCTAAACCACAAAACAAGCAATATACTTCCTAACCAACACACATACCACAAGCTCTTACAAATTTATCGCAATCATGGAACTGATTACGACATAATAGGGTTTCCATAACATTCAACTACTCAAGCTACCATAAATGAAACAACTTTTCGATAATACAAGGGGTACCCTTCTCTCTACTCTAACCAAATTATTATCTGAAGTAAAAACTTCAAGGACTGAACAATAAATTTTGTTTTGACACAAGCAGAAATAATTTGGAAGATGAACTTGTAGGAATTCTGATTAATTTTTATAACTAACAGAAAGAGAAATCTGAATGATTAAAAGAATATCTGGATTATTTTTAGTGAGAGAATGCTCACTTTGCACTTAATATATATTTATAATGTTAATAATAACTGGAGCTTGCTCTCCTCACTTAAAAAAAGCCTCCATCAATAAAAAAAACTTAATAATTGAGTGTGTCTTGAAAAAGAGTATTCGTTTCAGTGTCACTTAATAATATAAAAATTGTTCCTTTTAGGGGAAGATGCATTGGCATTATCTGAATGCTAAATTAAACTTTTGTAACATAGAAAATAACAACATTAATAAATTTTTATAGGGATATTCTCCTAATAGGCGATCTACCTTACTTAACTGTATAGTTACTTTATGCATCGATACGTGGTGCCACTTAAATTGTTGTTTTTACACATTTTTTTGATTCTGTTATTTTATTCAAATTTTTATGATCAGATTTATTAGTATTTAATATTAATAATTTCTTTTGTTTTGCAAAATATTTCTTTTGCTGTGTTTTATTATGCTGCATATAAGAAAATTTTCAGTGTGTGAATAAAAGAGAGAAATATTTTTTTTTTAATTAGATTAGCTGGTTTATATATTTTAATCAATTGATATTAATTGAGCCCCTAAATGTTATGGATATAGATTATATCAAGAAATTCACGCATATAGTGAATGAAACAAATAAGAGATAAGACCCGATTTTGTACTATTATATTTAGTTGTTTTAAAACCTATTTACAAACAATTTGTTGCAAGCAGAGTATTAAAAACGAGAGATACATTAAATACTGTTGCTGCTTAAGATAACTCTCGTTTCATTTGCTTCTTATTTCAACTCTGTAATGTGAATGTGCAAAAAATAAATTTCTATTTGAGAGTAAATAGATAAAAGATTTGAAGACAGCATTTTGAAAACTCTTCTCAAATTCAATAGAAAAATTGCATGTGAAAAAAACGATAAGCATAAACATTGCTTTTACAAGCAAAATAGTTTCAAAAGAGGTGGTGCCATCTAGTATAAAACTAATTATTAATAAATGAAATTCAGTAGATCACCAGTTAGGACAATATGGATGTAGGTAAGATAAAATACTAACTTTAGTTTGCAACACCTTTATAACTCTTATTTTTAATTTGGTTGTTTTCCCTTTCCATTTTAAAAATACGAGGGCTATCCAGAAAGTAGATTACGTTTTGGAATAAAAAAATAAACAAAGTATAGGAAACAAATTTTATTATATACAGATGAAAGCCACACTCAAATACTACTTTTCTACATAGTCACCATACAAATTAAGGCATTTATCGTAGCGATGTACGAGCTTGGAAATTCCTTCGTCGAAAAATTCGGCGCCTGCGCCTTCAACCACTTCGTTACCTCTTCTGCTTTTCGCTGATGATTTCGTGCAACAAACTTCGCGAAAATTTGTGGAAAACTCAAAGAAGTTCCGTTATTGTGAAATTTCGATTTTCACGGACTTTAGCATCGACTTTTTCGAGAAGTTCGGCGGTCACTATGCTGGGTCTCCCACTTCGATCTTCGTCGTGAACATTGGTTCGGCCATTTTGAAATCTTATGACCCACTGACGCACTCCACCTTCAGTGATAATGTTGTCCCCATACACTTCACGAAGCTGCCGATAGATTTCTATCGGTTTACAGTTTTTTGCAGTCAGAAACCTTATTACTGAGCGCACCTCGCAGGATTTTCAATTAACGCAGACATTTCAAACCGTCACAGTATCTGAACGGAGCACAGCACGAACCTCTTACTAGCACGGCTAGATGCAGACTGAGCTGCGCAACGCTCTGGCCCCAAGATGGCCGCGCTAGCCCCGCCCCTAGCGGACACAGACGGAAACGTAATCTACTTCCTGGATGGCCCTCATAGTAACTGCTTATAAAGCTCTTTGAACCATGTCATTTCAAAATTAATCATTTTCACATATTCTTATGCCAATGGTGCAAGCATTTCAAAGTAATTTAGAATAATAAAGTTATTTATGTGTTATTACAGCCTGCATAGTAAAAGTTGCTAAATTTTCAGAATGTGCCAAACCCTGGCAATTATGCCCATTAGGCCCTTCAGTCAAGCAACATCAGTATTTTTGTATTTTCTTTTTATTGTATTCCTAGATGCCTGTTAGGTCCTTCAGTCAAGCAACATCAGTATTTTTGTGTATTCTTTTTATTGTATTCCTAGTTCCAATGGTTTTTATAAACAAATCATATTATTTTTTATCTTAATTTAAAAATATGCACTCATGAAATTTACCAATGATGGAAGAAACTGCGTTAAATTTTTTATATTTATCCGGAATAAAGAATTTTGGTGCAGAATTGCTAAAGGAATAACAAGGAAATGCATTAAGGAGATAGCCTGTGTTTGCATGATGCCAAGTCTCTGCAGTTTTGTTTTTTTAATGCCAAAATTCTAGTGGAAGAAGCTAATGAAAAGAAGCTGGTCGTAGCAGCTTTTTTTTTTATTAGATTTGGGGCCGAGGCCCACTGGCAAAGCAAAACTTGAAAATCTTTACTTATTTCTCCCCTAATCAATATCAGTGGGAGGGGTTGCCCCCAAGAGACAGGCTGTTCAATTTCCAAATTCTTTTTCCCTTCAAAATCGAGCCAAATGTGGTCGCTAAACCTGCAACTTCTGAAGATATTTTGCATAACACTTCCAAATAATATTATTGGCTATCTTAGAAACAATTGATAAATCCAAGCCAGTGTAAGCTAGAAGTTTTCCTGACGACTAATTGGGAGGAAAAAAGAAAATAATAATAAGCAACAATGACTCATCCTGCAACAAGAAGACACTTTATGAGAAGAAATTCAAACCTCCTAGTGATCCTCAAAAGTAAACAGCCTTAACAATGAAAAGGAAGAAAAGTCCCATCCAGTGTTTTCTCTGAGCGAAAACAATCACACACACAAGTAAATAAAGTCTCTTACAGTTCTTCCATTAAAGGAATACTGATCTTAAGGATAAATTCTTCCTAAAACTCAGAACTTTGTTGCTAACATAAAATGCAGAGCTCTTTTCCCATTTTAATTACAAAACTTTCATCTTTTCCATGGCCACATCCACTCACTGACCAATGTGAATCAACTCCTCCCTCTTACCCCCTAAGCATCTGCTGGAAAAAGATTCTTCCTTATTTCTCAAACTATGAAAATGCTAACGAAAAGAACTGAAGATATAATGTCTTTTAACTTCCAGAAATTATTGTTATCCTTAACTAAACAAATTCTTTAAATTTTAAAAAATCCTCAATTCAAATTCAATTAAATTAACGCGTACATTTTGTGATATAACCCAAATACTTCTGTAAGTTACCAATTAGGTGTATTATAAATTTACAGAGAAGTTCATGCATTGCTTTTCAGTTGCTCAGTTAATTAAGAAGTGCATAATTTTAATTTGAAATATAAATTAAAGAATATGAGAACGTGTCATTCAGTAAAGATGTTAAACTGAAGATCTTATTTTATGCAGAATGGCATTTGATAGTCCATGTAAATGGTAACTATTTTGGTGGCATTATGGAATGTAACAACGAAACACAAAAAATTAGAGTAACTATACCTATGTGTAAATGTAAAAAAATTTAATGACATTATATTTTATATTTACTGATGGTTATTAAATTAATTTAATTAGTACTTAATGTGATATTTCAAAGACCATGAATGTTGACTTACCATCCAAGTTAGTGGATATCTTGCCAAAGTTGCAGCAGTCATTCGTGTGAAATTCTGAAGGAATTGATGCTTCTTTGTATTTAATAAATAATCAGCTTTCATTGCTTTCTCCAATTTTTTCAGAACTCTGTTTAGAATGCTGTGAATACAAACTTCCTGCAAGTAATTAATTTTTCCAGTATGTTACTGTTTTGTTGGCCATATTCAGCTAGTTTTATAATGTCCATTGATACACACTTTATTGATGGTAGAATCCCATAATTTTGACAAAAATTCCCTGTTTGCTGTTCTGCAAAAACAGGTCCCAAATTTTAATCCTTACCCTCCTCCCCAAATGCAAGAAATAATATAGTAGTTACAGTTAATTTATATCCGTGTGCATAAAAACAAAAGTGGCTTATCAGTTTTCATAATCAGAAAAAATACACGATTTCGAGCATTTAAAGGAGTAAGGATGTCACATATTATGCAAATAAAAGAGCATGGATGACACAAGCATTAATGAAAGATTAAATGATTCCTTAAAGACACTGATGACCATTTAAAAATCATCTCGAACGCGAGGCTTTGGTTGGTTTACCTGATGTAAATCAAATGAAAGTGTAGTTCCTATGAGTGTATTGTTACAAAATACTTATCTATAATTGTCACTAAATTTTGCTGCTTAGCGATAGTTTCATGGTGAGTAGGATAATATGGATAGTACCATTTCTAGTAGGTCATAGTCAGTAGGATAGTACCATTTCTCGTATTTTTTTTTATTAAAAAAAGACTATTTGCTAAGTAGTTAATTTAATACTATTTTAGGAGTGTGGGGTGTAGGCTTAGCCACCAGGCATGCAGATCTGAATCGAGTACCTCTTGGTCGTGATCGAGAATCGTGGGTTTTAACTAGTGAAGGCACAATTACTCACAATGGAGAAGTTTTATATAAATTGTCTGACATGCCTATGGAAGGGGATATTGTGGTAAGTTATATAATTTTAATATTATTAATTGATTTTTTTACTGAAAACATGAACTTTATATTTTAGTGCTTGTGATAACTTTGCAGAATTTTTCAGCAGAGCTGTATAAATAGATGTTGATGTCAAAATTATTAATTTGTAAGCAAGTTATATATTCTTTTGAAAAAAGTGTATCTTGATGATCTGAAGTTTTTCATTACAATGTAGTGAGGGAATAATACAGAAATAAGCTTGGGTACTGCCTGAAATAGGAAGTATTCCAGTACAAAGTCAGATCGGGATGTTCAGTATCCGAAATGATCTGAAATCTGGACCTCAAAGCCATTAACAACCTTTTTTGTTTAAATGCTTCACGCATATGCATTTGATATTTTTTTCCCAATAATAAAACATGTGGAGAGTCCTGATTCTTAATTTCAAGTCAGTATAAAATAAAATACCTCCTTATTGAAGAAACAATCATTTAAGCATAAATTTGTATGATCAATAATTTGGCTGCGTAGCTGTATATCTACTTGGCATATCTCAAACCAAAATATTCTACATAGGAACATTGTTGATTTTATACTCACTAATATTTTATATTCCTATTGCCAAACACTGCATGTTTATCAACACACAACAACTTAAGTAATGACTCATGTGGCGATGCCTAAACAATATTTTTTTATATTAGTAATTGAATAATAAAGAATATGGTTGACATTAAGCCTGGCAATGATTACAGATTTAAGTTAAATGCACTAAGAAGTATCAATGAGGAAAAATTTAACAAAAATTTCTTTCCTTATGTTAAAAATAGTTTTTGTCAATGATACACATAGGTCAAAATATTACATTTAGTACTATTTGAATTAAGAATAACTGATTTGTTATTCACATAAACCTAGACCGGTGCCAGAGCTGGTATGGCTGCACTGGGCAGCAGAATTTAGGGAAGGCAAATGTTTTAAATTTAGAGAAGCACCAAGAAAAAAATTAAGGGATGGCAAAACTTTTAACCCTTTGTGCTCGAGGCGCTTTTCTGTCGGATGAACCAGCAACTCGAGAGTAATCAGCCACTCCCGCTTACATATATCATGAGTTCCTTATTGTTAACTTAAAATAATTTTAGACAATAAAACACTTTAAACTCATATATTTTAACATTATACATATTTTTTAACTTAATGAAACATGTGTATTAAACATTACATTCTAAAATTTTGCTTCGTATGATATTTTACAAAACAATATCCAATATACATCCATGCACCCTTGGCTTGTCGGGGCATGTGTCACAGTAGTATACAGTTTGTCGACATTGAGACGTTCTTTGGAGAGCAAACCTTGCAATCGTTTTTTTTTTTGGCCTCATCAAAATAATATGCAGCTTCCCATTTAGTCGGATCGCTTCATAAATGCTGTGTGAAGTAAAAGGTGTGCTGGGTTGTTTTTGTCGAAAAGTCTCCTCTCAGTTGATCCACTAAAGTTTTCAAATATTGTAGGTGACTAAGCGGCCGTTCATTTCTCTGCTTCTTTACTGATTTATAAAGAATGTATGAATTGAGGGAGCAGATCTCCAAACCCAAAAAATAGTTTTCGCCACCATTTTACGGATTTTTTGTTTAAAAAACAATATGTCAATAAGCCAGTTGGTCAGCTCGATCAACACCACTCATAAATTTGATGTAATTTACAATAACATTGGGTTTTTTTATAACGACTTCAATACCGCCTCGCAGAGTTCTTTTACAGGAGTTATTCCCGCATTATTCCAAGTAGTCAAAGCCGTCACAATCCTCTTGTCCTTCCATGCCAGAACCAAAATATTACCTTTACGATATGCACATGTGGTTCGATTCTCAAATGTTGGCTTTTGTATTTCACATGGCAGGTGCTTTCTATTTGTCATGATCGTTACCAGTTAAGTGGCACTTTTGTTTGCGTAATTCTTCTGCCAATATGTGCAACTCGTATAATAACGGTCCGTGAACATGTGGTGTCCCTGAACACCGGGAATTTTATCCTGTATCATTTTGTATAGATGTAGCGGTATTCTGGTTGATACCGGATAGATTGGGTCTTATCAAAGTTCTCTGTTGTTAGAGATCCATAATACGGCAGAATAGCACAACTATTTTACTAAGCCGGTATTTGAATCTGCGAGCGTATAAACCCGAATACCCCATTTTGTAGGTTTCGTTGGATTGTATACGTAATGAATGATATGCGGCCTTTGAATTTGACAGTCGACTCATCCACACAAATCTGCTCTCCGGGTACAAAATAATTCAAGAACCTTTCATTTATATACTCGAGGAAAACCAGATACTAACTGCAAACGGGTTTCTAGGGTTTGTGTTTTCTGAGGGTATTGTCTTGGAGGTGAACGTCTCCAAAAATATTTGACAAAATCGGTCTCTCGTAAACGTATCTGAGTAAAACGGAATATAACTAGTATCATTTTTCGACCAGTATTCTTGCATGTTTGCCAGTGGCATTGTGCCCATATTAATGATTGCCCAATAAACGCCCGAAATTCGGTAACTGTTACATCGTACCATGATCGCCATATAGAACGAAATGATAAGGTCTTCCCTTCCACCTTCCTTGCAGCATTATTGTTAGTTTTCTGCACTATGTCAATAACTAATTCCTCGTGAAAAATAATTTGAGAAAATCTATTGGTTCTTTTATGTGTGCAAATACGTGTCTTTCTACTTGTCTTTCACCGGATACTACTTGTCTTTCACCGATCCTACTTGTCTTCACCGGATACAAACAGTATTATTATGGGGATTTCTTCGGATTCTGTGCACACTGTCCATTCTGAAGGTTCAGTCTCTTCTGTATAATCACTTTGGATTCCAGATTCACTATCGATTATTTGGATTTTTCGTCTCCTAGCTCCTCTAACGTCGTCACTATCTTTAACACTTCCGTCTTCGTTCTCATGGGCAAGCTGTCTATGTAGTGATGTAATTTCGTTCGTTATTGCCGAAAAATTAAACTCATCTTCGCTAGAAGTAACATCTTCGCCGTGTTCCATACTTATTGGGCTCAGTAACTTTGAAAGAAATACTGCGATCGGCAAGAAGATTGAGTTCGAACTGATGTCGAAGACAGAGTCCTGCCCGCGGTCGCAAGTATTTTTGAGATAAGACATTTAATCGCATAAGCATTGCAAAGACAACCTTATTTGAGATAAGACATCCTTATAGCTATTCAGACACTCGTAATATGATCTACAAAGGCCAAGTAGATCTCTCAAGCGATATTCCTTAGGTCAAACACAAATAGACACATCGATTCGAATGGTGCCTCTCAGGCACCGCTCGAGTTATTGCATCACATGCAGTGGTGCCTGAGAGGCACCGCTCGAATGCAAAGGGTTAGAATTTGGGGAAAGCACTGGGACCCAAAATTTAGGGGCACCAAAAATTTAAAACTTAGGAAGGCACTTGGTAGCAGAATTTAGGATCCGCAAAGACGGCATCAGGCGGTAAGATATCTTGCACCAGCCCCCGATAACCTTAAGTATATGGTAGGAATTTGTTTATTCATGACTTAGGTAAGCCTTAAGAATAGACATAAGTATAATAAAAAACTAAACTATTACAATTCAGGCTTAATTGTCTCAGTGTGCAATAGATGCTAGACAAAATTTAACAGAACACTTTGTCTTTCATCAACAATTTCATGATACATAGCCAATAATGTATAACAGACGGTATTGAGCTAGGCTAAAATTATACTTTACTGATTTCAGTTAATATAGCAGATTGTGCTGTTCCTTAAATTTCTGATTTGATTCAGCTTTATTTTAAGAGAGTAATACGCATTACGCGTCGAGAAAGCTGATAGTCTTACCCCTTCTGTAATAATGCTGTAATGTTACTTTTTAATTAACCAAGACAGCTTATGTTAATTTTCTAAATAATACAAAAAAGAAAAACTGGTCTTGAGTTTTTCCATCACAGAAGTTCCGCGACGTTGCACTAGCTATAGTCAGCTGAATGCACTTTCCTAACAAAAAAAGCAAATAACATAAACAAAAACAAAGAACTGGATGCACATTCTAATAAGAAAAAAAAAGCAAAGAACAAAAGCAGGAAAAAAAAAAGGAAAGAGAAATTCCTAACAAAATAAACAAAAACGCCTGTGCCCCTTTAATTCACAGGCACACTTATAAAGAGCCGTGATTCCCAGTTTGTTTATACCAATAAATCTATCAAAACCAGAAGCACAGAACAGAAATTAATGCCAGTGCATGAAGGTCAAATGCCTTATGAATCAACCCATGTGAAAACAGTTACCATTTAACTTCATCTACTGGCTTTTGAAAAATTCAAATAAATCGTTCCATTTTAAAGGTACGTACTATGCTGAGCTGCAGAGATCGATTGGAGCTCTTTCTTATATGCGATGCTGGGCTCGTAGGGGTGGAATCGTTGCATTGGGTATACAGGATGCTGATCCTGAACAGGTTAAAATACAAATTTTAATTTTTAAATAAGAATTATGCCTTACATTAAAAGCATAAACATTCTTCTTCGAATCTTTCTTTCTTTTTTTTTTTATTTTTTATTATTATTATTATTATTATTACCATAACTTTTGATTTCAAAATTTCTAGTATATCTAGAAATGCTAGTGAATAGTAAATACTTATGTAAGAAATGAAAATTTGATATGTAAGAAATCAAATCCTGTATTTTAAATATTATTGCAACTTTTTAAGGGCTCTTTATTTTTCTTGAAAAAGGAAAATGTTATTATTCCTCAGAATATATCTAACCTTATTTTATTTAAATTAGTGTTTTTTTTTTCTTTTAATAAGAGGTTTAATTTTATCAATTTTTATTGTCAAATTACTGTTTGGCTATAGTTTTATTTGTATTTTAATCACTTGACTGTGATTTCAGGGTGTCTCGTATGATCATGTGGAAATTAACTTTTTTGTTAATGGGAAAAATTTGATGTGTCCTGTTACTGGAGCTAAAGGAGAAGTTTTCCCTGTTTTATATGGTAAGTTTTCATCTGTATTTGTTCTTTTTAATTTTGTCACTTGCATTTTAATTTTGATTGATCAATTTTCATTTGGAAAAATAATCACTTCAAATTTAAATTTTATAGTATTGCCTCCTTCTTTTAATAACAGTTAAAAAATGCTTGGCATAATTTAGGACTGTAGAATGCATCACATTTGAACTTCTAAAATCTGCAAAACAGCACTGTTATTTGATACACAGTGAACTATGAAAGTCTTCCTGAAAGAATTAGAATATTAATGAAATGAAAGGAACTGTAGGAATTTTGATAATAATACATGGTGTGTGATTGAAGTAAAAGAATCATTGAATAAATATTTAATTGTGCATTCAAGGTTTCTTTTAAATAGTTAATCACTATTTTTTACTTGCATAAAGATGACTATTATAATGAAAATGTATGTAGAGTAAAACCTTGTTATGAAATGCCTGAGGGTTAGAAAGTTAAGTTTTGAATCCACTATTTTTACTTACATAAAGATGACTAAATTATGATGCCTATTAGATTACTAAAGAAAAAATAGTGAAAATGTATGTAGAGTAAAACCTTGTTAAGAAGTTTTTGAAATACCTGAGGGTTAGAAACTTAAGTGTGAATCTTATTAATAACAATTAATTGGTTAATGAATAAATTAGAAATCACCAAGAACATTACTACAATATATAGAATCAGTCTTGAAATTATTTTAAAAACAATTGAATGAAAGTATGCAGATTTTAGAGTATGCAGTTAACTTTCAATAAATATAAAATTTTATTTTGTACCATATCTGTATGTGGCAATTTGAAACCAATACTTATAAATTAATATTTCTTTTCAATATGAAAAGTATCTTCTGGAATTCACGTTTGATATGCATTATATTTGTATACAGTTCCCAAAACTCTCAGCCATTGTTATATCAGAGTTTTAGATTCTTTTTTTTTTTTTTTTTTTGTCTGACTAATTCAGTTTAGTAAAATAATTTTCTCACTGACACATTCTCCCTCTCATTTTAAGAATTTGACTCAATCTGTTGTTTTATGTTGGTAAAAGTCAAATGAAACTTTAATGAATTTTTGGTACCATCAATAAAATATATTAAATTGATATAATTGATTAAACCTGGAGACACGAAAATATGCCATAAAACACATCACATATCAATATGAAGATCTCAGTAGATTAAATAAATGAGAAATGGTTTATGGATAAAAATAAAAATAGATTTTTTAAAACTTTATTTTCATAATAAATTACTGTTTAGGAAAGGAATCTGATAGTTTGTCTCTGCTCCAGAGATTTCATATATTCAAATTTGTTTATCAAATCTTTGGGTTTATGGTCTGCGTACTGCATTAGGAATTTTTTATGCAATCCAGACAGTTAGGAAGAGCATCTGCAAAAGTGATCTATTATATTTTCTCCTGCTATTCAACATGGGGTATTAAAATAGCTTATCTTGTTATCATCATAATGTTATTTCAGTTACTAATATATCAAATCATTTAAAAATGCATAGACCTGCATAGTTTCATTTTAACTTACACAGTGTCTATGCGATAATATGTAGGTTTATTTGATTATATTTTGTAATGGATGAGAATCCAGCTTTTATAAATCAGTTACTAAATAAGTTTGACTTCCTTGAAATTCTGACAAAATATGTAGCAGAAAGAACATTCGATTTGAAAATCACAGTTATTCATGTTAACTTCCTTTTGTAGTTAAATTAATCACTCATAAAATGGTTGTAAAAGACAAACATTTATTTCAGAGATAAATCGTACTCTAATAGCTTACATAACCTACACGTAAACGTATTCGTAAACATAATAGAACATAACTTACTGATCGTACCATTACAACATTTCAAGCGTACCGATATACATTTCAATCGTACATCATTTGAATATATTTTTTATTAATTATAAAACGAATTACATCCAGAAATTAGCTGTTGCCATTTTCTCAATAGATATTTTGTCTAATAACAATTAAATAATTTACAATCGTGCTTACATTCGACCATTCCTGACTTTTCAATTGTCCTCAATTGAACCAAATCTTATCATACATTAAAACGACAAATAAACAACAGTACAAAATATAATAATAGGTAGGAAAAAAAAAAATAAAAAGGAAATATAATTTTTAAAAAAAAATTCTATAAGTCCTACACAAAGTCTCTATAGCGCAATGGTTTCCAAGGAGGCGCACTGTTCGCTTGGGAATTCTATTCTAACCTCCTTGGTTTATTTAAGTTCGCTTCATAATATCGTTCATCATATCTTCTGTATTTCTGGAAATGATGGCCTCTGAAGATCTGTTTTTAGCACGTGAATCAGCTTGGTGGGGCTTTCGACAACCCATTTTTGATCTGTAAAGTGGACAAGATCTAGAGGCTGACCGCGTGGTGCTCTTCGTCGTCATTTGCTTCAGTATATCTTACTAATTTACTAGTTGTTTCTCCTTCCATTCTACTTTGACTGCATTCAGTGTCATTCCTATGATAGTGGGTTTTGCTTTTAAAGCACCTTTGATAAAATCGTCTAGGATTCCAGTCATTGGTCTCTTCCACCTCCTGAAACTCTTTCTTTCATTTCTTCGTTTTTTCTTTCATTTTGTTCATCTTCACTTCCATCACGTCCAAACGTTTCGTGGAAGTCCTATGGATAGATAACTACAATATTGCCTGAAGTAAGAATGACGTAATTGCTTTCGTACAGGCCTTTGAGGTTGTAGTTGCTGCTTATCATCCACATTCTCTTGGCTCTGACTACCATCACTTTCGTCATTCTGTCTTTGCCTTGGCATGAAATGGTGTTTAGAAAACAGTTGGCCGCAGTGTCGATTTCTATTTGCAGCATAAGGACTATTTTTTACCGAAGTGGGATTCAGTCCAATCAGATTTGCAGCTTCATTCCTCTTCTCCCGAACAACTTCAAATGCACCTAATTCACCATCTCTTACACTTCGAACAACACTTTTTGTATTGTTTTTCTTTACTGCAGTTTGATGAACGAATTTATCTTCTTTAGTGTCCATTTTTATGAACTCAGTGCACCTGAGTTCTGAAATATTTAGTGCGAAGCTATCTCTGTATTCATTCGAAAGGCGCAATAACTCTTGTTGGTGATCAACGTCGAGATCCGAGCCAATTTTAACTTGGCTTAAACTTATAGGAACTTTTATGTTGTTAATATTTTCTGTTTTTGCTAAGTTCGAGCTCAATTCAGAAATTTCAGTATTTAAACATAGTTCAACTTCTTCTGCTCTCCCAACGCATTGATCTTTTTGGAGCTTAAACACTTCTATCGCCAACGTTAATCACTGGTATACAAGTTTCGCCATTTTTAATTTCTAATAAACAGCCTATACCTTCGGAAGGATTTTCTATCATAATTAATCCATTATCTACAGAATCTGTTTGAGAACTGACAAGACTGATTGTATTTTTCTCTAATTCATTTTCCTCAAGAGCTTTAAGGCAGACTCGATTTATTTTTTCATCAATTTGGAGCTTACTAAATAGTTCATCTTCCCTATACCCGAAGTGAAATCTTTTTCCTATCCTGACATAAGCGATGTGAGGTAGATCAAGCCATGTCCGTCCGATGATTAGATCAACTGGCTGTGCATTATCAGGTACAAGGTATATATTTATGCCTTGGCCTTTTACATTATCAACTTCAATATCGGCTTTAACCATTCCTATAGAAGTCATTGCAGGCAGCCTTTGATTTCCAAAACCATACAATTCATTCATAGCAGGTTCTGGTTTCACTTTAAGTTTCTGAGCAACTGAAGTCATTAAGAGACAACAAGAACTCCCCGTATCAATTAAAGCCTGTACTTCTTCAGAATTATTCAGTTTTGCTTTCTTCAAATATGAATTGCTCTCTTCTAAAATTTTCGCCAACTTGCTCAACAGAATAATTTTTATCATTTGAATGATTATTTTCAGCTTTAGTAACACAATTTTTAGCTTTATGACCTGTTTTATTACATTTTCGGCATGTTACTACTGGTTTGGGTAGCGGACAGTCCCTTGAGATGTGTCCAAAATTATTACAGCTGAAGCATTTTGATTCACCTTTTTGATTATGTGTGATACCGTAGAGTTTTTTCTTTTTGTTGATTGTAGCAACTGGACCATCTTTAAAGGAGTTTCGTTTGTCGTAAGGCCCTTCTTTATGCAATTTTTTATTGTTGAAAGTTGACTTCAAGGTATCATAATCATCTAGTTTTCAACTAAATCAATTGGTGAAATCAACTCAGACCATATGTCAATAAAATGATCTTTTCACTTCTGGAGACACTTTACGTTTTATCTGATCCGCTATAATAAGGTCGCTAAGTTTCTCAAAGGTATCTACTTTAACTCCGCTTATCCATTCATTAAAAAACATTTCTTAACTCATACGCAAAATTCTTCCATGTGTTTCCTACACTCTTATTGTGCGTAAAAAAATTTTGGCGAAATTTTTCAGGTGTCATCTTGTACCGTTTTAGTAAGATCCTTTTAACTTCTTTATAATCGTTTGCAATCTCATCGGTTTCTCTGGCGATTAACGGAGCAATATCATACGGCAATAAGCCAAACAAATGAGTAACCCATGTATTTTCTGGTATTTCAACTTGTTTAGCCAAACGTTCAAACACAATTAAATATAAACTGATATCATTCTCGTCAGGTTTAAATTTTTGCATCAAATGATGAAGCTCTAACTTTGGATTCATGTGTGCACCACTAGCATTTTTGTTGGTGCCAGAATTTGTAGATCTACATTATGCTTCAATACGTAGTTTTTGCAGTTCAAATTCCATTTCATACTTTCATTTTCGTTCCTCATATTCTTCTCTTCGCCTACGTTCTTCGTCTTCACATTTTCATTCTTCAATTTCTTCTTTACGTTTACGTTCTTCAATTTCTTCTCTTCGCCTACGTTCTTCAATTTCTTCTTTTTCTTTTCTTTCATTTATTATAATGTTTAACCATTCTTTGGTGCATTCTTCATCATACTCTTTGCTAGCCAAAATCATCTTTTTCAAATTGCTCATTTTATGACTCTCATTTACATCTTCTCCCAATTCTTTAGCTAATATTCTTAAATCGCATTTCTTTGCCTTACTGAAAATAGACATTTTTGTACTTATTAAAATGCAAATATATATATTTATCTTATTATTATTAACTTCCAATTAGACAACTTAGTAGAACACAGTTATTGGTATTTTATAAGTTTGTTAGACGTTCTAAATATATTTCAAAATTTAAAGAAATGAAAAAAAATAAACTCTCTTTCAAAAATGATAAAAAAATAACAAAATTAAATTCTATAATAAATATGGGTACTATTCTGTTTTGAGGGCCGTAAGAAAATTGCAGCGAAAATGTATGCGCAAAAGCGCCAAATCTAGCAAACGCGCCCATTTAACAGCGCGCCAAATCTAGCGTACGCATTGATTTCAGATTGCGTAAGTTTATATAGTTCTATATTTCTTAAGACGCCATTGAAATAATAGTTTAATTTGTAAATCCTTTTTTGATATCCTATGGATTTAACAATTTGGGAACTGACCATTACGAAAAGTCGGCAATAGAATTTTGGGTAAAGTGCAGAATCACACACTGCTTGACGTGTTTTTAAGAATTGCACATACTCGGTATCCATGTGCACATAGACCTATTTTCACTTTAAAAAAAAATCCTAGAATTGCACAAAAATGGCACTGCGCACACCCTTGACTTTATCTATGTACACATCGACCTATTTTATCTTAAAAAGTAAAAGAAAATTGACAAAAATCCAATTGTTTTTACCCTTGTAAAATGCGGCAAACAAATAACTGAGCGATTCTGCACTTTCAAAGAAAAGGCATCATTCGTTATAGAAAATTATGTTTGAACAACCAACGAGATGAAATTATGCTTTAGCGATAAGTCGGTAGCAAAATAGCAATGCAGGCATCCATTCAGTTATGTTTAGCAATTTTTATATAAATTATAATAATGATCTGAAATAGTTATTTACTCTTATGCTTTCATTCAGTCATGTTTAGCCTTTTTCATATAAATTTAATAATAAAAAAGTATTATATGAAATTAACCTTTCATCTAAATTAAAGCATCAATCTTAAGTAGTTATTTACTATTATACTTCCTTTCTTGCCGCAATTATTAGGGTTGCTGTAATTCTTTTTGGCAGCATTGGCATCAACAATAATTTGGCGATTTTGTACGGCCCTCGAAACCGAATAGTACCTAAATATGTTACATCAATCAATGCACATACCTTGAAATTCAAATCTTTTCAATTTATTTACATATAGCAAATTCTTGTAGCTTTAGGCTTAGGTTTTAGAATAATCCCACTTCTGATTTATGTTAACTTCTTTTTGTAATTAAATTAATCACTCGTAACATGGTTGTAAAAGAAAATAATTTATTTAAAGATAAATCTTAATAACCTACACGTAACGTATTCGTAAACGTACATAACATAATAAACGTACTTACTGCATCGTACCATTAAACATTTCAAGCGTACATCATCTCAATGTATATTTTTAAAATTATTAATAGAATGACATCCAGAAATTAGCTGTTGCCATTTTCTCAACAGATATTTTGTCTGATTAAACAATTAAATAATTTACAATCATGCTTACATTCATCAGATTAATAAAATTTTAATATAATATTTTAAATAAATGAATTGTTTCTGTTTCTGCGAGTGTACTTATACATTTCCTTGTGAAGAGAGGAATAATTCTCCTACTCAGTATTTGAAGTGAAAATAATTCCTGCTGCATGTAAACAGAAATGGCACGTATCTTAAAGTTCACTGTTAAACCAAGTTATTTCAATTGCTCAAGAAAAATGCAAACCTGGAAAAATTGTTAAATTGGCAAAAAATTATCAAATTAAGATTTCACTATACTTTTCATATACTAAAAATATTAGATGCTAAAAATAAAATGAAATGTTTTTAAGAATCAATATTAATATGAATTTTTTAATGTAATGATGAATTTATTTTTAAATAGTTTAAATCAAAATATTGATATTTATGTTATCTTTTAGTTGATGATGGTGCTATATTAGATGCAGCATTTACAACATTTACTCATCAGCCACCATCAGGATTTGACAGAATACTTGTGGAAAAGTCATTATTATAGTGCTTCCCATTAAATTTTTTGTTCCTTCTGAATTATTATTATTATTATTATTTTAAGCACGCTTAGGCATTTTAACAGTTTATTTTGGTTTTGAAATGTGTTTTTGTTTTGATTTTTAAAGAGATATTTTTCGTTGTCATTAATTCAAAGTGAAAAAAATTGACAAAAAGAAAAAATTTATTTTCTTATATTTAAGAAAATTGTCTCTACTTTGTACATATTTGTACATTCATCTTTTTTGTTGTTCTTCTTCTGAAGTTATATATCATTTGTACTGTATATTTTTCAAACTTAACTGTTATACTATACAAAGTACATTTTTAAACTGTACTTTTCCAGTTAGAATATGTACAAAAATTATAAGCTGACTAAAAAGGCATGTAAATTTTGTAAAAAAAATATGAAAGAATCTAACACATATATATGAATATTTATAACATTCAACATTCATGTTTGAATATCATTTATGTTTTTGCCATTTCAATGTATTTGTTAAGGTTGGAAAACATCCCATGTATTTGTAGATGTCACTAAATGTTAAATATATATTCAAACTTTATTCATTTATAATAAAACTGATAAAAACATTATTGTATTTTCATTTTCCTTATTTATGTAGTATAGTTTCATTCCTATAATTTTTTTTTTTTTTTTTTTTTGGTTGTTATTATAAGAAACAAATAGCAAAACTAAAATCTGAAACATTAACATGGTTTATTTTTACAGAAGAAACATTTTCTTATATCCAAGTTTATGTATTCTGTAGTAATTCCAATTATTTGAGTTTTCACATTATTCAAGGCAAACATATAATTCTTGAAAATCTTATTATGATTTCTCTACTGAGCTTATGGAAAATCCATATGAGATTTTATATCTATTCTTTGCAACAAAGTGAAAGACTACTGGGTCATCCAGAAGGTTCTGTGGTTTTTCAAACTGAAGTATGTTTTCTTGTATTTTGTTACTGCTGATTATGAGTGACCTTGATCAAGGCAGATGTTTAAATAGCCTTATCTGCTCACTTTGCATAATTCTAACATGTATTGTGACATAATTTTTGTTTCAATGTAATCCTATAGCACAAAATTTCATTTTCATCGTGTTATACTCTTTTATTTTAAGAAAAGGAAAAAGTGCTCGTCAGGCTGCCTGCAAAATTAGTGCTGTTTTTAATGGCAGTTTGAAGGTTTTTTTGAGATGTTTAAACATGAAAATTTCAGCCTCAAAGATGGTGCTGGCTCAGGTGACCATCTTCTGTAAACAATAATCCACTAAAAGAAACTATTGCTGAAAATCTACATTGTATAGCTCAGAAAATAACAGACAGACTAAATATTCCAAATAGCATATGATCATTTAAAGATTAGGTATGTGAGCCAATATGGTGTATGGGTACCCCCATACTTTAACAGTATAGATTATGTTTGCTCCTTTTTTGAAATGGCTCTCCTTGTTGGAGATTAGAAGTGTATTTATTTAGGTGTAGTCAATTATTTTGTATTTATTTAGGTGCAGTCCAACTTTTGCTCAGTTCTGCCCCAATCTGGGAGGGCAGCACACCAGTGGATGGGGTCTCTCACCCTTTTCCCCTACCAACAACCTCTCGAGAGAATTCTTCGCTCACAATATTTTGAGTGCCCCCTTGCCGCACGACACTCTACATTTACAAATATCCATGCCTTCTCCGGGTTTGAACCTGGCCTTCCGGCATGGCAGTCAGCATCACTAACTGCTTTCCTGTCTAGGTAACTTATGTATTTGTACTTCTTCACTTATATTTATCATAAAAAAATTGCAGAAATTTCTGGATGAACCGATATTATGAAACAAAAGTAATTTATAGAGCACTTTTAAGAAAGATCAAAAGTATCTGATATCAAATTACTATGTATAGTGCCAGAGGTTCTGTTAGTGTCAAACCTCAGTTTTTTTTTTTTTTTTAAACCACTTTTTAAATTGTTTCCACAAATGTTATTATTTTCAAAGAAATTAAGTAATAAAGAATCTATGTATGCTCCTTGCACTGTAGAAAAACAATGGCATCTAGAGCCAAAAAATTTTGATTACAAGCTATGCACTCAGCCTGTTTGCCCAGATTTAAACCCTGGTCAAATAACAAGCATTCACTTTTTTAAAAAATCTCTTGGCCATTTCATTTTAGGAAAGGGCAATAAACTGCAGGGAGTTCATTTCTGTATGTAAGGAGAATTATTGGTGTAAAAAATTAGTGTATAGCAAATAATTCATGGTACAAACTTTTGTAATCCTTCTTGTGTTGTAGTCATCTGATCTTCTTCACCAGATCTATCATTCTTCCTGTATTGTATTTGAAAACAAGACAATTCAGTATCCTCCTTGCAAGTATCATTAATCTTCTATACTTTGACCACCATAAATACAATTTCATAAATGAATTTACTTGAATCATGCCCACATAATTCAGGTAAATTCATTTATGAAATAGGTTGGAATGGGTATAAGAAAGTATACACAAGGATTTTTTCTATTTTTATTTTACCTCCTGCATATTTCATTCAGCATTTAAAGAACAAGATTTACTTTTTGTAATCCAAGTTGATATGCTGATTATGGAAAACGTCATTTTAAATTAATTTTGTGACTACATTGTATTTAGTTTTTTGTATTTATTTATTTATGCTTTGGTAAAAATGAGTGTCCTGCAAATTTAATTTTGCTATATATAAATTTTATTATTATATTTATTATCATTGAAGTTATATGTAGTGGAATATAATTAGATAAAAGAATCTAATAATATTAAAATGTTATTAGTTTTGATATGAAATACTATACTTATACTTCCTACCTTACAAACCTTTACACCTTACACCTTACACCTTACCTTACCTTACAAACCTTTTCTCAAAGAGTGAAATTTTTTTGACATCGAAAAGAAAACGTAATGTAGCAATTTTTAAAAGTATTACACACATGCCATACCCACTCCTAGGAGCTTAAAAATGTTGATGACAAACCTGATATCACTTAAAGGCACTTTTGGAAAGACTACAATATTTAAAATTACGTGCAGAACATTCAATATGCATGGGAAGATGTAATACATGTAAATATGAATGGCATTTGGAAAAGTATGCTTCCCTATCTTGTTCATGACTGTTATGGTTTTAATAACATGATAAAAAGATGAACATTCATATGACTTTCATTAACAATAGTAGGCAATCTGATCTAAACTTAAAAAAAAAGGAGGGCACTAGCCATTATAGGCATTGGCCACTACTAAGGCCAGAGAGCGGTAGTCACTGTATTATCGGGGCACCTAATTGGTAGCCCATCGTTGCGTCTTATGAAGGGACAGAAAATTTACATCCATGCTTTCTCTGAGATTCGAACTCAGATCCTGCAGTATGCCAGTTAGAGTCACTAACCACTTTCCTGTCTAGGTGGTGCTTGATTTAAACTTGCAGTAGGAGTATTTCGAAGAGCTGCTTGCTCATATGGCAAAGAATTGACTAACAGAAACCTGATGCATCTGAGGAAGAAGAGCCTGCCCAATTAAAAAGTTTGATGCAAAATTAATGGCAGTTAACATTTTCCAAGTTTGAAAATCTCACATTTTTAGAAAACCAAGAACAAAATTCTGCCAATAACTAAGAGATAACATTGCATACTTACATTAAATTTTACATTACTAACATTAAGAGAGGTTTGCTAAAGGTCTGATGACCCTAATGCCATACAGTGCTATAGAAGAAAACCTGTGCAGAGAAGTTTAAACATTTATCTTTTTAATAAAGGCACTTCAAAAATTGGTGTTTATTGGCACATCTAGCCAACTTCTTCCACCTCGCTCTGACATCCTCATCATAAATGCCCTCTTCACTTATTGATGTTCTTCAAAAGGGTGTTCAAACATTGTCCCACCCTGTCCCCATCAAGGTCTGTTACCATCATTCTCACATGCTTAAGAGCTGACGGTTCAAGGTACACCCTCTACGTAGTAGAATAATTCTTTATTTATTTATAGTATATTTAAGATATATTGTTTATTTTTTCAATATATTTGTTTGATAATATTTATAGCTCTTATCTAGGTTGGGTACTTTAGTAGTTATAGCTCTATCTAGATCCGTTACTAGTAAATTCGATACTCATATCTCCCAACAATGTTCATCAAGAGATGTACAGATCAGTTCACTCACTGAAGTGAATCATTCCTTTTACGAATCGCCAATCACTAACAATTACCTTGATGAAAAGATCTGGAATGAGGGATGAGAGTCGAGAGCAATTTGTGAGGAGCAGAAAGAATTGAACAAATTGTGGGACCAGGATTGGTCAGCATGGTTGCAGCAAAAAGATCTAATGAACCATAGAATCAGAAGAATTCACTCAATCAAATGCCAATTCCCTGAACTGATTTCTCTCTACTGTAGTTTTGAGATTCCCTGAAATTTCCTTTCTAAACAGAACTAACGAAAATTTTAAAATAAAAATTAAACTTGCTTTTTAACATGAGAAGATAACCAGAAATTTAAAGGATTTTTGCCAATAAAGTTAGTAATTTGTCCCAATTAAATTTGTTAATGATTTCCCTTCATATATTTTTATATCTTACATATATATGCTACCGAAATTGGAAAAATATCAACATTCACAAAATACGTTGGTGAAAGACCCTCACCGGTGTATTACATTCAGACCCTCACCGGTGTATGTCGACAATCGCAGATATGCTCTGGTGTAGGTCAAAAAGATAGGCGTAGACAAAGAGGCGACTGGCTGTTTCCCACCAAATACTTTGTTCTAGTGGGAGTCAGTCAGCTTTTTCAATCTTATGGAAGGTTTGATGGTGCAAGCAACATTTTTTTTTTCTTCGATACCCTAATTTATACAGAATGGACACTGCAGTGAATCGTGATCTTTTTCTTGAAAAGTTAAATGCATTAATTGCGGTAAACGAGAAAATTGTTTTTATTTTTCTCAAGAATAGTAGTCTAAAATACTTTCTGAAGTGATTTCTGCTAAAACTAAGTGCAACACATCTTTGGATTACAGACGATTAAAAGGTTTTAAAAATTAATTATGAAGAGAAGTTAATTGTACCATTAAGACCAGGAGAAACGAATATACAGTATCATGTTACCAATGAGGAATTGATCAGTACAGTCAAAAGTCGTTAATTCGGACACCCATAATCCGGACCTCAAAGCTAAAATCTTTCTGCGCATGCTCATAGGCGTTTTACGCATGCGCGCAAGACATTTACGACTGCGCATATGCATCTGCGCAAGTGCAGAATACGTTTTCGCGTGCGCGTTTAATGTATAACGAACGGCATAAGCTAAAATTATCTAATTATCTATTTCAGTTAATGTTGATGATTGCGTTGTTCCTTAATCTTCGAATTAGATCCGGCTTATTATTTTTTGCAGACTGCGAGCAATTTTATAAAAGTAAGCATGAACTTTCGATTACGTCAAATAGAATTTCCTATGCTGGAGCTCCCAAAGGATCTAGAAAACGAAAGTATGTTTCGATGTCCATCAAACAAAAAAACAAATTGCTACAAAAAATGGATAAAGGTATATCCTTTGTTTATCTAACCGTTCCGAAATCTGTTTATCAATTTCACAGTGCTCTGCATGGGGGGGGGGGGAACATCGCAGGGCGCAATGAACTGGAAGTTGATCTGTCAGCACTATACTTATCTTCAGGGCAGATGTTTTTATTTTATTCAGCTTATAATTCCTTACTAAATGTAGTATTTAATCTCGATGTACTCTGTCTTTGATATGATTTAAATAAAATTCCTCGTCATTATAAATATCACGAATTACAAATCAAATAGTTTTCTGGTTGCAATTTTCTAATTTCGGCTATGGTAAGGTATGCTTTACGCATGCGCGCGTTGAAAGAAATGTTTAATAAAGTAAACAAATAAATATTAAGCTCTTTTTTTGTAAATTTTGATACCTTTAGATCATAAATTGCTCATTATTTATAAATTAACGGTTTCATATTTTTAATTTTATAATTTCTGCATGCCATCTTACCAGATTTAAACTGATGATCTATAATCCGGAATAGCCGAAGTCCCAACGAGTCCGGATTAAAGACCTTTGATTGTATACTATATGAAACTCGCACCAGAATAGGCCACAGAGGAAGAACACATATGCTTAAAGAGTTTGAAATTAAATACAAAAATATTACATATGAAGTTGTGATGTTGTATTGAAATTTATGCAAACAGTGTGAAATGAAACACAGTGCACCTAAGAAAGGTATTGTTGTGAAACCAATGATCAGTTCTGAGTGAAACTCAAGATGTCAATTTGATCTGATAGAGCTGCAGTCAACAGAGATGGCGAATATAAGTTCATAATGGTGTATCAAGATCATTTAACTAAGTTTGTCCAGGTAAGACTTTTGAAAACTGAAAGAGCTGAAGAAGTAGCGTATCACATTCTTGCAATATTTTTAACATTTGGTGCTCCAGCAGTATTGCAATCAGATAATGGTAGAGAATTCAGTAATCTAGTCATATCCGAAATATGCGCTATGTGGAAAGATGTTAAGATAGCTCATGTAAAGCCTCATCACAGTCAAACACAAGACTCAGTTGAAAGGGCCAATCAGGATACGCAGAATATGCGAACTGCATGGATGAACGATAACAATACAAATAAATGTACAGAAGGTTTACTCTTTGTTCAATTTGCCAAGAACACTACATACCATGAAGGAATATGCCAAAGTCTTTATAAAGCCATGTTTGGCATTAAAGCAAAAAGAAGCATAGCATCGTCTTTTTTGCCTAGCGAATAAATCGCAAATATTGAAACCGAAGAACAACTCGAAGAAATTGCCAATACTTTTGAAACTGAAGAACAGCTTGAAGAAACTAATAATACTTCTGAAAAAAGTTCGAGTGATGATCATACCGAAAACCATATTCCAAAGAAAAATATTGAAGAGGACTTGCAATCGACCACATCTTCACATCAAGCTCTGACTGAAAAACACAAGTTAATTTCTATAAAAAGAGCGGCTGCGAAAGAGAATCTTCAACTGCAAGCAACAAAATGTTACGAACCTTACAAAAACAATTTCCTCCTGCTCAAATTGGTGATACTGTACGAATACAAGTCCCTGATGTTGTACAGATAACCAAAATGTGTTAGCAGTTGTTGTTGGAATAGAAAACTTCGACTTCTACAAACTTGCAAATGAAAATGTTACCCTCAAGCAGCTTTGCACACGTAATCAGTGCATAATTTGTAAAGAAAAATTACTTTCCATAAATGAGATTTATTTTCAAGAAACGTCGCTGAGAGAAGCAGCTGCAGCTACTTTGAAAAACGGTGGGCAAGGCTATACACGCTGTCATTGCAAAAGGAAGTGTTCCATAAATAAATGCAGTTGTAAAAGCAAGAGCCTCTTGTGCAATTCAAAGTGTCATAATAGTTTAAGTTGTTGCAATAAATAAGATTTGAATCACATAATTTAGTAAGTTTTTTATTACTATTTATTTATTTTATTTTCTCATTTAGAACACACTGTATAATTAAGTAAGTTTTTAACTTCTATTATTTTCCTTTCTCATTTTGAATGTACTGTGCATTTTAAGTTCTTATTTTAAGTCTCAAGTGCGTTTTTTCGCGACTGAATTACGGAGAATAAAATATAATATTATATGTTCAACATTAGTACATGGTGAATGTCGACATTTACCATTGTAAGTCAGAAATAAGAGTATTTGGAAAATATTTCGGACATTCACCGGTGAAATTCGATGTTCTCCAGATTTTGGTGTTTCACCATGACATATATATACATTAAATATTTCCTCAGTGTAAAGAATTCATTCAAATTTGGGAAGGAGACGACACACAATCAGCTCAATTATTAGATTTTATGTATCAAAGCCAATTCCTCTTAAAAAGTCAGCTTTCTTCCATGAAATCAACAATAATTAACTTTAATTTTCTTGCTTTTTTAATATTTTATTTTTGTACTCAGAATTTTTTCTGATAGACTTCACAGTTTTAACCCTTTCAAGATGGCACACCTTTGTTACAACGTTCACTTGGGATGGATGGGAATCCAACGGAATCATTCTACAGGATGGAAGTTTTGTGGCACAGTTTGGGCTGCATGTAAGATTTCATTTAGATTAGATTAGACATTTTAGAGATACAGGGCTGGATATTTTTTTGGAGGGGAAGGGAGATATATACATTATTATTATTTTTTTTAAATATACTCATTTTACATATTTTTTTTTAAATATACTCATTTTACATAAGATTTCAATAAATTATTTTACATTACTTAATAAAGTTCACAGTTTGGGGTAGCACTAAGTTAAGTCTTTGTGCACAGAAATAAATGAAAATTACATTCAGGATCTTTATTTTCACAAATTATTATAAACTATTTAAGTGATTGGAAAATGTCACTGCTCTGTCATATCAGTAAGCTTCAAGTGTTCTTCCCCTCCCACTGATAGTACTATAAACACGTCCTTGCTCAAACTATTTGCAAAGTAATCGTTGCTAACACCCATAAATCCAAGTTCTCACAAACTTCACGAGCTTTCAAATATTGGGGAAGGGAAAAAAAAAAAAAAAAAAAAACAGTAGAATGCCTCCTTCATCTAACATTATTATTCTTACAAGCAAAGTCTTTCTTTATTCTATACAATGATGTAAATATAATTTTGAATTTTGTTTTATGTTTCTTAAAATGCAGTGTTTTAAACCTCTCACACATATTATCTTTTTTATAAGAATATGTGTGATAATATGCTCTATCTAAACGCATTCATGTGATTCTCTAATATCAGTCCATTTACTCCTGTGGAAGAGGGTTTAACCCCTTCGTGCCGACTGTCATATATACGTGCCAGCAACGAACACACTTATCTACCAGCCGACATGCAGGCGTGCCAGAGCATTGTTGCATTCTCTACCGACTGTCACGTATTTGTGCCAGTACCTTGGAACGTTTTTCAAACTATAATTTCTGCCACAAGATGGCACTGTATGTCCATATGGTTTCAGATACATGTGCATTAGACCTTCTACTTGAAATGAGAGAAGCATGACTCACATACACGTGTTTTTGATTATATAAACAAACGGGGAACTAAATGTTTCCAAATGGCGTGATTTATGACGTCTCTTCAAATCACACTTTATTCGCACGTGGTAGTTGTTTATTGTAAGTAGAAGTTTTATATGCGCTAAAGCGTTGAGTATTTCCGTTTACAGTTCAGTTTTTAGAAAATAATTAGATCTTGTTAGACGTGAATTCTTTCTGTTTTTACCGTTTCAATGTCGAAGCGTCGAAAATGGTTAACAGAGCATGAAATAGCAGAAATGATACAAAATATTTCAGATACTGATTCTGAAAGATTAACTGAAAGACATTTTCCAAAACTTTGTTCAGAAGAGACTGATAAGAAAATGAGACGACGATTCTTCGTTTGTTCACATTCACGGAAAAATCCTCCAAAACGGCAAATGAGTTATTACGAGTTCAAGGAATGTAACGTAGGACTGTGTGTAGATCCCTGTTTTAAAATTTTTCATATGAAAAGAGAACTTTAAGTAATATATTTAGTTTTCAGATTACAATGTTAAAAGTCATAAAATGGTGAGTAATTAAAATAAATGTGCAAAATATGCATTTAAACAAGAAATAAGGTAATTAAAGTATATATATAAAAATATCTATAAAGCATAAGCCGTTTAAATACTCTATAGAGCATTATTAAACAATGCGTTGATACTTCGGAAATTTCATGGAGTAGCAAAAAAGCCCCCGGCCCTGGAGAGACGCTCGCGGAAGACACTGTCGGCCTCTGCGATAAGCGCGCGTTTTTGCTACCCGGCTCGAAGGGGTTAAGCATCACCACCACCCCAAGAACAAAACCTCCCTTCTGCGAGTGATATCACTAGCAGGGAAACTAATAAGCATAAAAACCAATCTTGTAACAACGTGTGCTTGAAGTTACAGCATAATATTTTGTACAGTGCATTCATATTTATAAAGGATTTACAAGTATTTTCTTTGGTGATTACTGATAATCTGTTGAAGAATGGCATATACTTGCTGTGTGCCTAACTGTTCAAACAGCTTAGAAAATTATGCAAATGCTGAAAATTTCTTCATGTTTTCATCACCAAAATGAGATTTTGTGTACAATCCATGAAAAAATTCTAAGTGCGAAGATCTTCTTTATAAAAATTCAAGTTTTTCTTAATCCTTTATAAATATTTAAAAAGATACTATACTAGATATTCTAATTCCTGTATTTTAAAAAATTAAACCTCATTCCATGTTTGATATTATTAAACTCCTATAATTTTTAATCCAGTAAAATTTGAAATTAATTTACTAAAAAATAACATTACATTCAACAACAAAAAATCATTTACTTAAATCTGTAATGGAATATGTTATTAAAAGTTAATTTTAGTTAATATTATATAAAAACTCATAAATGTTTCATAAATACTCGCAAGCTTTTCATAACATCAGGATGAGTATATATCATAAAATTCAGCCATACAGCATTTTTCAGTTCTGTAAATTTATTCCTGAATGTTAACGTAAGTCGTCGCATGTAAACTGCATTTTCATTTTACGTAATTTGTTTGTAAGACTTCCTTGTGAATCCAGAGTGGTAGTTGATATTAAATTTGTTTTCATTCTTAATTTAGGGGAAAATATTGCCTTGAACCAGCAATTCAAAGAGTATTTGAGAATTTAGATGAGAAAAAAGGAACTTCTATAAAAATAAATTTGGTTCTTTCAAGGTTTGGAAAGGATGTAATCTTCATAAATACTCAAAATATTTATCAAGTAAATCTTCAGCTTTTTAGTGCTTTGAGAAAGAACTCAAAAACAATTTACAGTTTGCATTTGTCTTACCAGTAAAACAATTTATGATAAAAAATATTTTTACATATTTTCAATTTCTATTACACATAAAGCCCAAGAAACTGCCTAATACTTGGACAATTATTTTCAAAGATAAAATCCTTTTCTTTTATTATTGATACCCTCACTGCATCGATTACTGAAGCTTCTGTGATATTGTAGCATAAAAAATTATAACATAAAATGTAAAAGTGTAGTGTTCTTATTGGCAATTCAGAACTATAAATAATTTATAAGCTGTTGTGCTAAAGTAATAAATAATTTAAAGAGTTTTTATGAAATTTTTATATACTTTATTATATAATTCTAAGCCACAAAACAAAGATTTGTTGTTAAATATTATAAAAAAAATCTATTTTTGTGTTAAAAAATTTTAATAATGATGACCGTGATAAGCAGAAAACTGTAGCATTCATTACAGACACCTTCAAATCTATTTTGTAAAAAGGATGTTATTCATTATTTATAAAATAGCTAAACTTTATTTGCTATTTCATATTCTATTTGTTCCTATGCATATAATTTTTTAGATGTGTATACAAATACATATTGTAGTTGGTCCTGAAACACCAAAATTTTGAAAAATATTTTGCAATGCTTTTTTTAGAGTATGGTTAGATCTGATCATACTCTAAAAAAGTGTGATGATTTTGAAATTACTACTCACAGTTCAAAACTGCGAAAATTATATTACAATAATTATGGTGAAGAATGGTAATGTTGCAAATACATAATATTTGAATGGAAAGAAATGTTTAAGCATATGAATCATGTAACATTTGCTGTGCTATAGATTTGTTTATGAAGTACATGTATTGGAACAAAATGCAAATAATTTAAAAGCAATTTAAAAACAAGATTTTCAATTAGCGAGACAATCTCATTTCTGACTTATACAACATTAACTAGGGTGCAAGCACATTCTTCCCTTTAGCTGCTACTAGTGACGTCACAATACCACTGCCAAGGCCTTGTTATTTGGGTAGTGACTGTTTAAATTATAGCCAGTCAGGAAAGGTAAAGTTATGAATGGAAGGTAAAGTCAGTCAGGAAAGGTAAAGTAAATGTGCAGCTTATTCAATAAAATTCTCTCTTAATGTCAGTATTTGCTCCACTGCAACTGGTTAATTCCTATACCAGTCTGGTGTAAAGTTAAACAGTTAAAACATTTAGGAAATTTCTTACAGAAATCTCGACGTAGCAAGTTTTGGCTTCCTTAACTCCTTGTCTTATGATGTCATGTGAGATATGATCAGTCAGTCGGGTCAAAGTAAACATAATGTGTGAGAGAGGGATGTGGTAAGTCAATCTAGCCAAAAGTGAATACAGCCTGTGAGACGTGTGGCACGCGGCTTGGGATACATGCAACTAACACTTATTGATTTTCCTGGCCACGTTTGGATATACAGCTATATTTTCTTGAATATTAAAGACCCTTGAAAATGTCTTCAAAAGGAATATTAAGCTTTGTTGAGGGCAGTGAAGGTTCTGCTAACATGATAAACATGATTTGATAAAATATTTTAAATAACAATAATGATTATAGTGATATTTTACTTTCTGCATGAAAATGTTATGAGTGACTAGTGAAGATGATACCAACAAAAAAAGAGTGCAGTAATCATTAAAATTCAGAGCTATGGATTTGGAAAGAAAAACTAATGAATTAAAAATTTAAAACTACACAGAGATTCCTGCACTAAAATGGCAACTTTAGTTAGGTGAAAATACCACAAAGAAACCATACAGCAAACAATTAAAATAGAAGACAAAAAAACAAACAAGACTTGGCTTCCTGTAGAATGTGATGAAATAAAAATATATTTTGCACTATGTATAATAATGACTGAAGTTAAAAAACCAACAATTCAAATGAATTGGTCTAAGAGGGCAGTTATAGAAACTCCAATTCTTATAAAAATGATGTTGTTCAACAGATTCTGAAAATAAAAATTCGGCTAACTATGCAGATAAATTACACAAAATAAAACCTGAGATAAATTTCAGTTTAAAATCTTAAATACTGATGAACATATTTTTTGTTCAATGATCAATTGGTAGTAATTATTTACCAAACATCTTGCAAGTAGCTCAGAAATGAACAGAAAGATGAGATATTAACAACAGAACTATCGATTTGATTACTTTGGGTAAAATAGCAGTCAATTCTTTCAGTTAGACAATTCAGTAATATAGCTGTAACATTTGGCAGTTCTATGATTTACAGCTAGTTGCCATAAATTTTTCAGAAAAGTAAGCAGTATTTGGACATAACTGACACTGGAGTTGTTTCCACTTCAAATGTGCAGCCAGCAACTCAAATCATAAGGCAAGGGTTCATAACTAAGTTCAGTTTATGACACTTATAACTGCAAAACCCTCATGTTGTTTGAATCCATATGTGAGAAGTAAACATTTTGTTAATTTTTCCTTAATTAAATCTTGGTGATATTCTTAGTTCTGTTTAAATAACAGAGGCCATAATAAAATAAGAAAGTAATAGTCATTATAAAGAAATCTTTTTAAATATGCAGAAAATTTTGATTATTATTTTAAAAATTATTTAGTTTTAATTAAATGATTGATAGCTGTAAGATAACTTAGAAATTTTTAATAAAGGATGCAGGATTAAATCTTCAAAATGTGTCCCACTCATTAAATTTTATGATAAATATTTCACACCAATAAAATGACAAAATTTCTTTTCACTGTTTTATTGAAGTTACTACTAACAGAGAATGATTAGACATGAAGACAACAAGCTATATAAAAATATGTTGTAAAAGGGCAATGCAGCTTATAAATACAAAATTTAACACAATCCTTAATGACATATAAAATAGAAAAGTAAAAGAATATTCTCAACCTTCTAAGTCCCCTCAAAACTGAGTAATATTCTAATGTGTGATCTATTACACTTGGTTTTATTAAAAACTGATCAGGGGAAAATGCAACAAAAAAAGTTATTTGGGCCTTAATTTCAAAAAATTCATAAATATTAAAAACTCTTTTTATAACAATGACAGCATGATCAATCATTTCTTAGAACTAAAGTATATACAAAATCATTGTTTTAGGAAATGTATTTGGTCAAATACTGTCCATTCAAAAAAAAAAAAAAAATATATATATATATATATATATATATATATATTACCTAAACAGTAAGGTGTCAAAATGTAATATACAACAATATTTGCTTCTTTGTCACATGAAGCATAATTAAAATATACAAATCCATCCATTTCACAGCTCAAAACCATACTGAAATACACAATTTCATCATGAACTGATTCATAATTTTCAAGACTAAAGACAGAGTTTGGCATAGAGAAAATTTTACTCCTTGCAATCGATTGTTTAAAAGCTAAATTAACGAAATCTTACAAAAATTTGCAATCAACATTACACTTTGTATAAATGTTAACCACCACATAATAATGTTAAAAATGACAGCGGTTACACTGCACAGCAGTTCTCATTTATGAAAAAATAGTACAACACAGCCTAACAGCCTATCTACCCTGAAGATTTTATATTAAAACAACTTTAGGCCCAAAAAATTTTAACGAATGCATTTTTTCCCAAAATTAAAAACTTTAAGCTGCATTGTCCTTAAATATACAACTTCACTAGAGAAAATGGGGGAAAAAATCCTTTTAACAATACACATACATGTCGGTTGACTGACAATCCACAATTATTTCAAAAGCATTTGCCAACGTCTGCCATGAAACAGACAAATCTGTTCACATTTTAAAAGTAAATCTTTGTGTGTTTAAGCTCACAACAGTTTTCTGAAAAGCAATACTCAAAAATTATAATCACATAATATCCACATTAAATTACACAGTAAGAGTCCTCTGGCAGTGTGCTACCAGCCACTGAAAATGAGAACACTGGGTGAAGTACAATGATAGTTAAAGCAAAAAATTCCTGCCTTTTCTCATGGCAGAATTAGCAAAATCTGATATAACTACATCTAGAAACTTGACATTACATTCAGCCTCATTGGGGCTTTGTTGTCTTCATATGTGATCATAAAAAGAAAAGAACTGGTGAAAAGTTTGCTTCACTCGGCAGTGGCGGCTGAAATGAGCCGAACCACTCCCGAGATTTTGCAGATTGTCACCAATTAATGACTGTCCTTGGCAGTAATTGGAATGGCGGATCCAGTTTTAGGATTACTGCCAAGATCAGTAGATGGAGAGTTGGTCAGCTTGGGTGCAGAGCCTTGACTGCCAGTTATGTAAAGCCTGTTGAGAAGAATATTATATAAAATAACAGAATAACTGGCATGAAAATGAATTTAATATTTTGATATGTTCATATTATTTGTTTTGCACTTCATTAATTAAATTCTAAATGACTAAATGCATAAAAATAACTTTTCCCCCCTTTGTTTTTCAGAACAGAAATTTTCACATGCATTTCCTTTATCTTCTCCCAAAAAAATATATCATCTCAGTATGAAGATAAATTTAAAATTATTCATAACAAAAATTTTAAGAAGTTATGGCTTATTTATCATACACAATGCAAACAATTGAAATACTTTAAAACACAAAATGCAGATACAAATTTTTCATCAAGCTGCATTATTAGAGCTACTAGTGCAGCTTGATCATGAGGTGCTTTAATTATCAGATCAGCTTCATGCTTCACTTCAGGAGGACAGCCAGCCAAAGATGCCAAGCACAAATGCTTCAATTATTTACACAAGTTATTCTATCCAAAAACTGAAACTACATTTATGCAAAATTACCAACACTTTAGAGTGCACATAAACTGGAACAGCATGTACTAGATACATACATGTAAAAATAGTTTGATGAAAATAGTGTATTCACACCAAACCGATGTTATAAAGGGTGTGGAATTTATAATCAAAGGGCCAACAGTAGCATAAGGTGAAAAGAAAAACATAACTATATATGTTGAGGGGTTTTTGAGTGAATATTGTCATTACAACAGATAATCAGTGATAATGTTCACTGGAGTGTAATTTCAAGATCTGGAGGTAAGAAAACATTGTCTAATAATGTGCTGAAATACAGATTATACAACCAGTTCTAAAGTATGGGAAAGATATTCCAGCACCCAGCTATCTCAAAAAATGCAAACTGGCAAACTGAAGATATCCCAAATGGTTTGGTATATGGCTTCCTATATTGAAGATTACTACCTTTTCATTCAATGGCACTTAGCAGCAGCATTAACCATAGCTTTTTTGTTTACATTTTTTATGCATACATTATATTTTTAAAATTATTTCACACTTTAATGACATCTAACATCATTCTCATAACAATGATTACCTCTGGAATGAAATGACCTGGTTACAAAATAAAATAAGCTACTACACAATGGGGTAATTAAGTGCAGTATAAATATGGAACTTCAAAAATGGATTTAAGACAGTGATGGCAAACCTTTTTGGGGTCGTGTGCCATTGTGTTTAAGATATTAAATTAGAATTGTTCATCAGTTACCTCAAAATGCTTAGATCTGAAAACTGGAATCTATTTAACAATGAAAGTATTAAAACTCACCGGCAGTCCACAATAAATATGAATTCGTTTAACAAACAATAGCTGCTTCAACTCTGCTGTATTCTTTGCCACGTAACAAGTAATATGATTGGCCCAAATAATTGAAATGTCTTAAATTGGACAATAAATATGTATATCATTTCTATGGCGATATATGAAAATCTTACATCTAAGGCTTAGGCCCTACGCCAGTGGCATTATGCGACAAGTAAGTAAGCAAAACGTTCAAGAACAGACTAAAACAGTTATTTAAATTACATAGTATCATTTTATCGTGATTATTGAATTAGGAAGTAATATTTTAGTTACACGCCGGCTGATGAGGCTCTGCGTGTTGACTGTGGCAAGCATGCCATAGGTTTGTCATCACTGATTTAAGAGGTTTGATGTTTAGAAATTTAAAAGCCATGATGCAAGTATTTTTCAATTATTCTATGTATTTAGCTTTCCTAATCTGCCAAAGTTCAGGACTACAAGAAATATGCTTCTTTCATTTTGTATGTAGTGCATTATATATTATTGACCATATTACTTCAATTACAGTATTACTGTACCATAATACCTTCTATTTGATTTAGGTACCAGAAAATCTTGCACCTCAAACACAACTGAAGTTTTCTAAAGTTGTTCAAAAAGCTTGGTTTCCCCTCCCTTTCCCCCCATACTGATGCCTATGAATTCACCATTGTTAAGCTCAGTATTTTTTGAAGAGCTCAGTCATCAATAAGAATGAAATCACACTTTTTAAGGTTATTTTGAGTTGATTTTATTTTGCAGTGCAAAACAAAATTATACGAGCAAACAACAAACTAGGTCCACCAGTGGCAAAGCATTAAAAGCTGCTGAACACTGGTGGTTCAGTATGGGGTTTTGACTCGGACAGGCTAAGTGCATGAGCATTTCTATCGTTTTCCCCATGTGTCACGTCGATACGAACCAGTTTCCCTTAAAATGTTCTCCACTGGACTTCTTTCCTTTCTGAGTGGTGCCTAATGGTGGAGTATGTAATAAATAAATAAAAAAGCACTGAAATAAATAATTATTTATACATACCCATCTCCAGCACCTAAGTTTGCATTATTTTCTTTTTTCCCCCCATCTGGTACTGCTTCCATACCAAGCTCCGCAAGAGAACGTAGGGCTACTAATGCAGCTTGATCATGAGCTGCTTCAATTGTTGGACCAGCTCCGTGCTTCACTTGAGGAGGATTGATTCCCAAAGATACCAAACATAAATGCTCTAATTTGTTGCCCTAAACATAAAACAAATTCAGAAAGAACATTAAAACTCACATTACTCAAATTACACTGCTTAATGTGCATATATCTAAATTTATTTACATAAAATTAAGGAAAGAAAATAATCAATTAGCATTAATTTTATAAAAAGCTATTGATTTCTAGGGCAACTGACAACCGTTCATTTTCTTCATAAGGGATCCCCCCACCAAAAAAAAAAAAAAAAAAAAAAAAAAAAAAAAAAAAAAAAAAAAACTCCTCAAGACAATAGATTTACCTAATTCATCCTTAAAAATTGATGGTTTTACTTAAAATCAACACCAATCTAAAGCATTTTTTGTGGGTGGTGGTAGGAGGATATTTTAAGTTCATAATTTTATATTTGCAAAAGAATGCAATTTATGTGGAAGAGGAAACTGCTTCATATACATTGTATTACTTTTTAATGTTTAATAACAGAAATAGGAAACCAAGAAGAATAAATATGCAGATGTTAAAACATATTAATGACACTTTATAAATCATAGATATATATATATATATATCCATAGACCTTATATATCCCAGAACTTCTGGCTGACTTCATATATAATATATCTAACAATATTTTTGTTGATATGTCAATAGAACTTAGTAGAGATATAGCTAGAGAAGATGGTATCAATCACATTTAGTCATGACCGAGAAAACTGCTGCGTATATGATGGCTGGACGGAAAATCACGATTGGCTTCGGAACTCGGCTGGTTTCAAAGAAAATATTAAATTAGCAAACTTTTTACTCCTCTAGTAATAATTCTTTATAAACAGAAAAATGAATAGTAATTTCACATACTTATATTGAAATCAAAACACTGAAAAATTATTTGAAAGCATAGTCAATTTCAAATTTCAATATTTGTAAATTCAGGAATATAACCACACCTTTGAGGTAATCTTTCACTTTTAGAATTAGATAATTTTTAACTTGCAAGGATGAAGTACACATGCTTGTTGAATTTTAATTTGTAGACCGAGGATCACAACTTTTAGACACACATTTAAAGACATAAAATTTCTCACACAGCACTTGACAGACAAAATAAATTTGACCTACTTTACACTCACTTGATCACTGATAGTAAATGCCCATGAAGGCTGCTGCTTCTAAATAATCTGTGAACCATTCTTTTCTTTTGAAACCCCGTTGATGATGCACTGAAATCAACCCCTTTTGGATCATATATAACTTTTCTTTTACTTATTTACTTGTGGATATTTTTCAAAATCTATTGGGCATTGAGACAGATACCACTCCTCTCGACTAGAAAACATAATATCTTTGTTGATACATCGAAAGAACTTACTAAAAATGTTGGAAGATGAAACCAATCACTTTTAGTCCTGATCAAATAAGCCGCTGTGTAGTGATGGCAGGAGGAGAAATACACTTAGCTTGATGGTTAAAAGGCCATTTTTATTTTGAAGAGGAACAATTCTTCAGAATCACATTTTTGTTTAATTGAGACAACAACAGAGATGCTAAACATGCCCCACAATTTCTATATACGCAGCTTACATTTTAGACAGTAAAAAAAGAAGCATAGCAGAGACATGACTTTCCCAGCAAAGAAAGTCTTAAAAGAGCAATATAATAAGTAGTTAGCATTACTTATAACCTCAGAATGCTTTGCTTTAATCCTGAGCAGCGATTAGGCAGAAGTCTACAATGGGAATACTGCAGCGGAAATTCAGATGCCCTGAAAGGAGTTGTGCTTTCATTGAAAATCAGAAATTTAAAGGCCTACTGTCATTTTGCTCCAATTAAGTTTAATTTGTTAATAAATTTCTGGCATAATTACATAGATAGATATACAGATATAAGTCTACCAGAAAGCGCTGTCTGATACTGTTATTTTAAGTATCAACATGTATGCACATGCTCACTTCAGACATATATGTCAGTTAAGTGAAACAAAAGTATCTCATATTATTATTGAAACGCAACTGTGTAAACTTGGATACCAATGAAGTTCATTTACAGCACTGTATTTTGAACAAATTCCAATAAGGAAGAAATGCTACAGAAGCATGTCAAAATTTATTGAAAATGCAGTTTCGAACACAATGTCCAGGAGAATGTTTAAAAATTTTGAAGCAGGTGATTTCGACCTTGATGATTAAGTCAAACTCTGGGCTGCCATCTTTAATCGACTACATTGTCGTCAACAGCATGATAGCAAGAGATTCTATTTTGGCAACATCAGAGATTGCAGAAAAGCTTAACTCAAATCAATAAAAAATTCTGGACTATACTTATAAACTAGGATTGTTTTATAAATACTCCAAAAGGGTTGCTTCATGAGTTAAGTAGAAAAATTTTGCATGGTTGAATAGTAATATGTAGTCTCTGCTTGCTCAGAACAAAAACAAACCCTTCTTGGACCAGATGACTTGCAATGAAAAGTAGATTGTCTACAGTACTATACTTAGAGTATACTGTGAGCTCGGAAAACCTGCCACCTTCATCTTTAAACAAAGTTTGAGCTCAAATAAGAGAATACTGGGTTACATGATGGGACGTCCAAGGACCAATACATATGAGCTTTTGAAACCCAACAAAAGCTAAATTTGGAAAGATACTATCAGCAAATGAACAATTTAGATAAAGCAGTCAAAGGAACAACGCCCATGATGTTTAATAGAAAGCATATTATACTGCATCATTATAACGACACACTACATGCTGCTTTGCTGAGCCAAGCTGAAAAATTCTGCCACATACACAATACCCCCCAAACCTACATAACTCTCAGATTGTCACCTGTTTCTCTCCTTGCAAAATTTTCTTAAGGTGAAAAAATGCAAAACTGAAGCAGATGTCGATAGAGTTCTTGCCTCTAAGGACACAACATTTTCCAAAAATGATATTCAAAAATTACCATCCCGCTGGTAAGAGGTCATAAGTAGTGACAGAAATTATACTGTACAATAAATATTAAAGCTATAAAAAAAAGTATATTCTTTTGCTTCCCAAACAGATAGAATTTTCGGATAAACCTTGCATACATATCATGTAGTTACAAGCAATTTTATATTACATTATTCAGGTCAATACACAATTCAAATATGGCTGATAAGTTTTAATGGAAGCAACCAATTGTTTACATATGTTTTGCATGAAAATTTTTAAACAAGATTTAGCTACCATATCTTAATGAACTATATTTTCAATTACCCCTAAGAAGTGTAAACTATTTCAAAAAGACTAGAAATATAAATTTGATCAAAATAAAAAATAAATTAGGAATAATATTTGCAATTAATATGAATGGTTAATTTATAAATGAAATCAGTACAATACAAAAGATATCAAAAATTAAACTTCTATACAATACCCCCAAACAGCATCGTAATTCATACCATAATGGAAGTTGTGTATTTCCATAAATACAATATTAAAATATGGAGTATCATATGGTGCAATTAATTTTCACCAACAAATAAATGATAAATAAATATCTGCATAATTAATAATTCACTGCATAAAATTTGATACGAACAGCTAAAATTTCACAATAATTACCTATGATAAAGATTATAAATACAGTTAACACCCCTCAACACAAAATTACTTAAGGTGAACACTCGGTTAACACGAATTAGTCCTAGCAATGAAGTATACTATTTTACAGTATATCTATATAGTGTGTGTATATATATATATATATGGTTAATGTGTAAAAAAATTATTCCAAAAATAAAAATTTCAGTGCCCAGTTAACACAACCTCTTGATTTTTCGGTCTCTTAAGATTCAGGTTAACAAGGGTTACCGCATCTTTTTTTCTTCTTTTGCACTGTTTCTCCCACATACACAGCAATGTTTTAGATTACAAAAAAAAAAAAAAAAAAAAAAAAAAAAAAAAAAAAACAAATGGCACTATGCACTTTGTATTTTACATGTACTACACACTGATCTATTTCTGCTTTAAAAAATAAAAATAATAATAATAATAAAAGGGGGAAAAAAGAGTTTTACAAATTTAGCATCATACATGCCATTGCTTTCCCATTTACACAACAATCTGTTCTCATTTCAGAAAATATCAGAGAACTGCACAAATGTTGATCCATATGATTTGATCATTTTACTAAGTACAACTTTATGAAATGCATATTTTTACATTCTCTACTTATTGGGCAAAATGCCATATTTCTGAAGAAATGCAATACTTTTTTTATCATGTGGCAAACTCTACAGTCTTCTTATGATTCCTTACACACACACACACAAAAAAAAAAAAAAAAAAAATCACTCAATGGCACAAACATTAACGAACTCTAATCAAATACAGCAAAAGCGTGTGCATACTAGAGTTACCATATAAATATATTTTATACTGATGCCATGGGTTGGCTATTGCGGTGACATATTGCACTGCCTTGTGAATATTTTCTGGGGAAAGAGAGTGCAGATAATCAGAAAGTACCATTTGTTGCTTACTGTTAGAACAGGAAATTAAATTTCTTTTTAACCAATATTAGATAATAAGATTATCTCTGAAAGTTAGTTAATTTAATTACATTAAAAAATTGCATAGCATATATAAGGAGAAAGAAATTTGAAATAATAAATTTAGAGAATAAACTGCATACTTTTGGGAAATCTGTGAAATGAACAGGAAATCCCAAAACATCTGACATGTATAATAGTTTCTGCTTTGGTCTTACAAGGGGTGGTTGTGACATAAGAGGTTTCAGACTTGATTTCCTAATGGCCTCTGCATTTGGTGAAACACCTACAAAAATTTATTTAGGGGGAAATAATAATTAATAAATAAAAATTAAAAAATTACTGCAATAAAAAATTATATTGCGATCAAGTCCAATCATTAATATGTATTTCTTAATGGAATATATATCAGATATAATTTTCTAAAATAATTTTTAAATATATAAATACATGTTTTACATTTTAATTTTTTTTTAGTTCTTTAAGCCTGTAGAATGTTTTTACTCACCTTTTATATATCATGCACTACATACTGAGATTTATAGATAAAATGTTAATGAATTTTTAAAAACTTACATTTCAGAGAATTTCCAACATAGTAATACACTCAACACTGCAAAGCTTAAAATTAAGAAATTTTATTGCATAAATTTTTAATTATTGTTAAATCCACTAAATAGTATTACAATTTGGAATCCTGAAATATACAGATCTGCTAATGAACTCTCATCGTCAAGTGTCAGCATTATGCTAATGTTAACTTCTCCCAACTTGCACTTCTAACATACAAAAAATGCAGCTACAGTCAAAAGTCGTTAATTCGGACACCCATAATGCGGAATGATCTATAATCCGGACCTCAAAGCTACAAACTTTCTGCGCATGCGTTGCGTTCACGCATGCGCACAGGCATTTACAAGTGCGCGTACGACCTTTACGGCTGCGAATATGTTTGTGCGCATGCACGTTTAATGTGTAACGGACGGTATAAGCTAAGCTAAAATTATCTAATCTAGTTAATGTTGCAGATTGCGTTGTTCCTTAATCTTCGAATTGGATCCGGCTTATTATTTTTTGCAGACTGTTAGAGCAATTTCATAAAGTAAGCTTGAACTTTCGATTATGTCAAATAGAATTTCCGATATATATTTACTAATATGTAATTTGTATCTACAAAGCGAAAGTATGTGTCGAAATCCGAAATCTGTTTATCAATTTCACGCCTCGGATTGGATGTTGATCTGTCAGCACTATCCTTATCTTCAGGGCAGATGTTTTTATTTTATTTGGCTTATAATTCCTTACTAAGTGTAGTATTTCATCTCGATGTACTCCGTCTTTGATATAATTTAAATCAAGTTCCTCATCATTATAATTCGCTTCCGATAGTGAAGAAAGTGACCCAGAGGTTATTGAAAACGAAAACATTTCGATTGACAAATTAGTCGGTATTCTCAACACAGCAATTATAGGACTTGAACAGCGGAACTTTGTAACTAAACAAGAAATTATATCTGTTTAATAGAATTAAAGAGAAAGTATTATCACATGAAATGAAGCAACTTACATTGAAAGAAATATTTAATAAAGTAAACAAATAAATATTAAGCTTTTTCTTTTTGTAAATTTTGATACCCTTTAGATCATCATTGTTCTTTATTTCATAAATTACGGTTTCATATTTTTAATTTTGTAATTTCTGCATGCCATCTTACCAGATTTGAACTGATGATCTATAATCCGGAAAAAATTGATAATCCGGAATCGCCGAAGTCCCGATGAGTAAGGATTAACGACTTCTGACTGTATTGGATTTTGTGACATTTGTGCAAAATGGAGCATTGCCCTACTGTTTTTCTATTATTCTTGACTTTCAACAAAAAATGAAGAATACATCAACATTTTTAATAATTATCCTCATATCCAGACCTAAAACTCTTAAAAATTTATGAGTCTACCTGAAATCGCAGGTACAGAAAACTTTTACATCAGTAAGAGCACAAAAAAAACTAAGAAATTCCAGTAAATGTGCTGTTTATGCTATCCATGCAGCTTATCTTTGGGCAGCGTCCAATAACACTGGGTGCCTCGTTCAGTATTTATTACAAGACTTCCCCCCCCTCCAAATTAGTTACTACAGTCAAAAGTCATTAATTCGGACACCCATAATCCGGAATGATCTATAATCCGGACCTCAAAGCTACAAACTTTCTGCGCATGCAGCACGTTGATGCATGTGCGTAAGACCTTTACGGCTGCAAATATGCGTGTGCGCATGCGCGTTAAATGTATAACGGACGGTATAAGCTAAGCTAAAATTATCTAATTCAGTTAATGTTGCAGATTGCGTTGTTTCTTAATCTTCGAATTGGATCCGGTTTATTATTTTTTGCAGACCATTAGAGCAATTTCATAATAGTAAGCTTGAACTTTCGATTATGTCAAATAGAATTTCCGATATATATTTACTAATATGTAAAAGATCTACAAAGCGAAAGTATTTTTTGAAGTCAAAAGTGAAATTGCTGCAAAAAATGACCTAACCATTCCGAAATCTGTTTATCAATTTCACGCTGCTCTGTAGGGGGGGGGCTGCGGCGCGCAATGAATTGGAAGTTGATCTGTCAGCACTATCCTTATCTTCAGGGAAGATGTTTTCATTTTATTTAGCTTATAATTCCTTACTAAATGTAGTATTTCATCTCGATGTACTCCGTGTTTGATATGATTTAAATTCCTCGTCATTATAATTTGCTTCCGCTAGTGAAGAAAGTGACACAGAGGTTATTGAAAACGAAAACATTTCGATTGACAAATTAGTCAGTATTCTCGACACAGCAATTATAGGACTTGAACAGCGGAACTTTGTAACTAAACAAGAAATTATGTCTGTTTATAGAATTAAAGAGAAAGTATTATCACATAAAACGAAGCAACTTAAACAACTTATATTGAAAGAAATGTTTAATAAAGTAAACAAATAAATAATAAGCTTTTTTTTTTTGTAAATTTTGATACCCTTTAGATCATCATTGGTCTTTATTTCATAAATTACGGTTTCATATTTTTAATTTTATAATTTCTGCATGCCATCTTACCAGATTTAAACTGATGATCTATAATCCGGAAAAATCGATAATCCGGAATCGCCGAAGTCCCGAAGAGTCTGGGTTAACGACTTTTGACTGTATCTAGAGCAGTATTTCCCACATGTCAGGTCATGATGCTGCACTGGATAATGAAAGTGAAATCCTGTAGATTTTGGGCAATTCTGTCATCAATAGTACCCACTTTAAGTACAAAAGGCAATTAAATTTCTAATGCTTTTTGTAAAAAAAGTCAAACAACTTCTTCAATACTTGTATTTTATAAAATATATACAGAAACTGATTAGATGTTGAACCAGATTTAAGAATTAAGCTGTCATTTTTTTCCTGACCTAAAAGTTCTAGTTAACAAGAAACAGCATCATACTTCCCATTGAAACTTTTTTATTGTTTTACATTTTTTTTTTTTTTTAACCCTCTCACTGCGTATCCCGTGATTTCCACGGGCAACATAGAAGTATGAAAATTTGTGCAATCCACGATTTCTGTGGGGATGCATATTTTTCGTTTATTTAACTGTGCAACCCGCTCTTTTCCCATTCATGGTGTCCATATTTTTTGGAAATATACAAACACATTTTGCACCATTTTACATGCTCTTTTCAAAGCTCAAACATGTCTGTAGTTCAACTCTCAATCAAATGAGACTAACTGCTTGACATTTTACTAGATATATATATCCCCCAATTCCATCAAGAAAGAAACTCGTAGACATTTTGCTGTTTGTTTCTAAAAAAAGAACAGAAAATGGCAAAAAAAATTCTCAAAGAAACACATATTTGGTGCAAAGATGGCGAGAGAGGATGCTTCAAGCCTTGTTTGAAAGTTTATCATATTACACTTCATTTCTAATAAATATTTTATATATTTTTTGTGTATTTTCATTAGTATATATGTTTAACCATTATATTTTATAAAATAAATCATAATTTAACCAAACTAATTTTCAAAATTTTTCTTTTATATGATTATTCTTCAGTTTAAATTTTCCAACAACCATTTTTTACGAGCTAATTCTATACTGAAAACAAAATCTTTTACAAAAACGTTTGGTATATTTTAACTCTAAAATATATGTAGATTTCAAATATGTAATTAAAAAATTATGCAACGAAAGGGTTAAGTATTGCTGTTACTTTCAATATACAGGAGAAAAAAATTTAACATTAAAATTTGAGAAACCCTGATCTAGAGAACATAATTATAATTAAAGTACATGTATACTAAAATTCTTTATTTTATTTATTTTTTTGCATCTAACAAAAAAAAAAAAAAAAAAAAAAAAAAAAAAAAATTGGAATTCTGAAAGCATAAAAGCAATGCCTACATTTATATGGGGGGTAGTCCAAAATACACGTACCAGTATCAAGAAGTTCCCTTGCTATGACTGAAACAGTTTGTATCATCTTATTAATACCCTGTATAGGACCACCAGGTGCTCTGTTCAGACCTGAAAAAAAGAGGGGGGGGGGGAAACTTAAGTTTATGTAGGGCAGTTACACAATTTAACACTATTTTTTTTATTTTAAATCAAGCCTGAAATTACTACTCAGACACCCAAGTTTCCAAACACCCAAGTTTCCAAACACGTTTTTACAGGAAGGAACAGACTGGACTGGATTAGTTAATATGAATAGAGAAAAACATGGTTATGTTCCTACACAAATCTTTTCTTTTGAGGGTCTAAATGTAGATTATACTACCGGAAAATCCACAAAAACCTCATCCAACAAGTTTGTTCAATCACTTCAACATGAGAAAAAACAACAAGGAATGAAAACCAAAATTACTGATAACTGTAAAAAACGCTTTCACATTATTTTTTGCAGTTATCAACAATTTTGGTAACTGCAAAATTATTGATTGTAATTGCAATAATTTTTACATTATTTATTTTAATGCTTTTTATTTAGCCCATAAGGGATATTAATTTTGTTTTGGCATTTTGCATTTATTCACTATAAATGGCGAATCACTTTTTAAATTGCTCTACCAAATATTAAGAGTCCTGTATTATATTTAAAAAAATTAAATAAAGAAAAATCGGCATAAATGTATGTATGTTTCTCGCAATGTGATAAAAAAAAGGGTACCTACAGCCAACAAATTTTGAATAATGTATGTCTCCACCCGAATAGGGGCATCTGGAAGCCCATATTTGGAATTTGTTTTACATATTTCATATTCTATAAAGCATTTAGCAGTTTTTGATTAAGAAACTCAATGATTTCAAAGCAAAAAATGGCAACATAGTACGAAAAAAAAAATTTTATCTTCAGAGTGCTAGACTGTGTATCGGAAATTCTAACAATATGCTCTTTTAAATATTTTGTGATACTGCTGTTGAATTAAATCTTATGGTTCAAGTGCAAAGAACATGATATTTAATAAATAACGGTAAAATGCAAAATGCTAAAAAAGTCCCTTTGGGTGTAATATAAAATCTGAAAGATTTCAGACTACTTTTTTTTAATTTTTTTGTATTTTATTACATTACAAACAGTTTACCTGCCATTTCAATATTTTTGGCTAGCTACTGTTGATTTTCACTCTTCAAATTTTTCAATTAATATATGTTTTTTGTTCAATGTTAAAACAACTTTTTTGCACTAAGTACTTGCATGTTCTTTATTAATTTTTTAGGTCTTATTTTAACACTCTGTCGGGCGCATTTGATCTGCTAGCCCCACCTCAAGCACTTTTGTTTGCTATGCCTCCTTCAAACGCCGTCACGCCTTTTCCATCTAGTTAGCTTCTCCTCTACCCTCACTGGCAGTCGTAAGGTCAGTTAGTGAATATATTTCTTTATTTCCAGTTGACAGATGAAATGATCTAATCGGCTCATTGCGCCTGATTACGTTACAATTTGACTAGTAAGTTTTCCGTGATTTTTTAATACGGTAACACATCTTTTGGTTTGCAATTTCATATGATAAAATATTTTATGATTATCTACAAAAATGAGTTTGTTTTGGGGCTCTGGCTTTTCAAACACACTGCACCTGATTATGCCATGAAAATCTGATGTGTACACCACGACTTCCTTGTACGGAATATAAAATTATACCCATTTTTTCTGCCTTTAAAGTTATTTCCTCAAATTTCATCAGAGATGTATTTCTCGATAAATTAATTCAGTTCTCACTTTGCAACAAGGCAAAAATACATAAAAACTCAAAATATCTATATCAAAAATTGAAAAATACAGAAAAACATAAAACTTCAAATACAGTTAAAACAATTTTAAAAACTTTTTTTTACAATTAAAATTATAATTTCTACGCAAAAACAAGCAATTAATTTGGGAAGAAGGCAGTTTTTTCGGTGCACAAAACTAAAAGTTAGTTTACTTTTGGTCTCACTCGCAAAAAGACACCGAAGGCATAGAAACTGACTTAATTTGTTGTGGGCTATGGTGAATCAATATATGGGATAATTTAATAACTTAAATGATAATTCCAGAATGGATTAAGCATAATTTAATTCACAATAATAAAAGAAGACGTTACTTTGTTGTTGCGAAGCTTAGTTTCTCTAGATTGGCAACAAATCCACTATTTTAAGTTTCAAATGTAAACAAATATGGCGGCAATGGTAAAAGTTAAGCTTAGCCACAATTAAACAACTTTTAAATTGTTGATAATTCTACAACTATAACATGCAGGTTAAAGAAGAGCATAAACCTTAATTGGAAGATACAACATAATTCAATTATTTTTAAAGCAAAAAGTGCACAATTTACCAACATATAATAATAAAAAAAACAGACCTCGCGGAGCCCAGTAACAGAGTGGGTAATATATATATTTATTTACATTTGATGCAGCCCATTTTGACCAAAAAGGAAGGAGCATAACGTCATACTATAGAAGTCCTATATATAAAATTTCAATGTTCAGAGGCTATTCAATTTTTTGTTTTGTGAGATATGTATGTACAGATGCCATGAAAAAAATCTCTTCAAAATCCATTTTAAATTAGTTTTATATATATATATTTGTGTATGTGTGTGTGTCCTTTATTCTGTCCTTATGTACAGATGTCATGCAGAAACACTGTTAAATTGCATTCAATAGAAGTCAAAATGGATATTTTCGTTGAAATATGATAACCGAAATTTTTCGAAATTACAATACTTCCTTTTTACTTCATGCAAGGAAGTACAAATGCTTTAATAATTTAAAATACTGTTTATTACTGATTTGTGAAACCCTGAAGACCTTTAAGAAATTCACAATTTATTGAAGGCATGAGATGAAGATGATGAGGATGTCAAAGATGAACATTCTGAAGTCGAATGCTATATTCATACAGAAGATGGTTAAGAGGGATCAGAGACAGACCAAGAGGGAAGCGAAGACGACAACATCAAAGAAAATACTGACTTTGATTTGGGACAAAGCCAGACCACAACACACCAGTAATTCTGGCTTCAATAGCAATGGTAATGTTTTGGTGCCCTACATTCCAAGAAAAAACAAAAAGGTCCTTCTTATATCATCATTGCATGATAACCAAGCTATTGATCTTCCTACTTTGAAAAACAGAAACCAGAAATGTTCAATTTCTACAATGAAACCAAGAGTAGATATTGTAGAAAAATTGTACGGTTCGTGTAATGTGCCTCGGAATGTAAAATGGTGGCCCATGGTAATCTTTTTATAATGTTAAACATTGCTTCAATCAGTTCTCATATCATACATGTTGGTAATGGGTACACAGCTCTTAAAAGAAGGTTGTTCATAAAACAACTGTCTAATGAACCTACACTTAGACAACTCTCTCAACGAAGTCTGAAGTCTATTGAGATGCCAGTACACTTACAACAAAAATTAAAGAGATATGCTTCCAACCAAGAACAAAAATCTCAAAATTATGACGAGTTATAGATGGCTCCAAAAAGATGCAAATGTGAAACATTCTATTTGGAGACTTATAAGAGAAGATTAAGCTAAAATGAGTGCAAAAATTTTCACACAGCAAACTGCCTCTTATATGCTGTTTTCATGTGTCCTCCATGCTATAAGACAGAAGTAGAAGAACAGGCATCTCCTAATGAATCAATTGAATGAGAGATATTACTTATATTCTAGTTTTAATTAAATTTAAATCTATAATTAGTCTTGTACAACTTTATAAACTATTTTTTAAATTTTGTTTAATATATATAGTTTTTTTTTTCTTTTCTTTCATAAAAAATTGTTTCATTGCCCCTTAAGTATTTTTATAACTTGTGGAAGTTTAATAATAATGGATAGCATTTGATTTTTGTAAGAACAAAATTTTTATGTATGAAAGTTTAGTAAATCCAGAAGTAAATACTCATTGCATCTGAACGTGTCCCGAAACATATTGCGCCTGACGGAGTGTTAAATCAATTTTTAAAAGAATAAAAAGAAAACATGCACAATAGTCAAGGTAATCACTCATAACAATGCCTTCAACTATGTATGTGCGAAATGAAATGTATGAGGTAGTCATATGAAGACACAAATCATCAGTTTTTTATGCTCGGACTTGCACGAGTTTGTTTTTTATATAACACTGAGTTTGCATGTATGGGCACTGCCATACACAGATAATCTACAAACTGGTTAATTGAGAATATACTGTACTTAAGTTCAATTATAAATCAAATTTTTAGATTACCAGACTAATTTTTTTAGAAGCTCAGTGTTTGTTTACAATAAAGCAATCTTCTTTCTCAGTCATGCATTATCATACCTGTTCAGTCTATTTATTTCTATGTGTTTATACTCACAACAGTTTTTGCATTTAAACCATAAAATTCAACTCAACAGCAATATCACAAAATATTTAAAAGAGCATATCATTAGAATTTCCGATACACAGCAACGCACGCTGAAAATAACAATAAATAATAAAATAAATAAATAAATAATTCAATATTCAGGCTTCATGGTGCACATGTTCCTATGGAGAACTATGTTAAAATTTGGTAGTTCTAGGAGTCGCCGTTTATCCGCAATGTGAAGAACATAAGATTCTTCATTATTTAATAAGAGAGGTGAAAGCAAAATTTCCATTTGTTTCGAAATACAGCAATTATGAGTAAATAAATGTAAATATACTTGGAAATGTGCAGATAATGCTGCTTCTAATTTATTGATACTATCATCAACAGGCATAATAATTGCAGTGCATTTAGTGTATATGCAACAGTTATATAATAATATTTTATAATAATAAAATATACATAGCAGTCAAATGCAATATGCCAAAAGCAAAGCTGACAAAGCGGGATCACAGAAAAATGAAAGAAAATATAAATGTCTTTAAGATTAAACAATTGAGGAAAGTTGGAAGAGGAGAAATTTTATCTCAAACTGGATTAGATATCAACAAAAGATAGAAAGGATAACATGAAAAGACATTTTTAGGAAAAACTTTACCATGAATAAGAGGCACTGGCATTAAATATTAATATTCATTACATTTACTTTTCAATCCAGCAATATTAATTCAAAAGTATGATACTCTAAATATTTTCTGCAATTTAGACACATGTAAAACAATGTTATTTTTTATTATTCTACAGGTTTAGAAAGAATACATATTTGTACAGCAAATTGATGAGTAAAATGACACCACACACAATACGAAATACATGAAAATTATCAGCAAAATTAGAAGAAAAAATGTCAATACAATTGCAGATTTTAAAGTTAACTCTATTAATAAAAAACAGACCTGAATTTCCCATAGTGTAATTTTGAAGATTATTTTGATCGGAGAGAGAAGCATCTGGCATTAATAACAGTCCTGGTACAAGCTGCCGCCCAAGTTTACCTTCACTGTCCAGTTTCTCAACTAATTCATTAAAAAGGTGACAAATAACTAATTATTTAAAAATTTTTTATAAATTAATCATTCATCAAAATTTGCATAAAGCTCAAATTCTACATACCTTCATGTTCAGGATAAGATTTTCTTTTATCAGATTCTGGATTCTGATAAACATGACCACCCTGGCAGAAGAAAGGGAGGGAAATGTTAATATTTACATAAAAATATATTTGTGCAGAAAAGTATTTTTCACTCTTTGTGCAGGAAATATTGTAAGCAATATATTTTAATTTAAAGTGCTTTGCTTTTGAAGATTAAAAAAAATATTAATACTTGCATCTTACAGGAAACAGGAAACTGGCAGATGCTAAAAATGACCTTATCAGTTAATGTTTACCTTTCTATTACACCTTTTAAGATAACGAAAGCCTTAAAGTCTTAGTTCTCACATATTCGTTCCTTTGATGTGTTTGAAGTTTTATTTTTTATGGGTATCTGGGATTTGCCAAATAAAATGGAAATTATCAGGTTTCTTCAAAATTAAAGAATATTGCCAAAATGTTGAGAATGTTTTAATTTCCATACAATGAAATTACACAATATAGCAGAAAAAAAATTGCAAAAGAGCAAAACACTGAAAAGGACAGACAAATTATAAGAATTGGTTTGGTTTATTTTATTATGACAAAGCATACTAGGGCTATCTGCCCTAGTATGCTTTGTCTAGGATACTCGGGAGGGATGCCTTCGTGGAGGACTTTCTAAGGGAAACTGGCTCGTATCCACATTGCACATGGGGAAAACCACGAAAACACCCATGCAGCCAGCCCATTCGCGGGATTCGAACCTCGACCGAACTACCAGTATTCAGCGACTTTACTGTTGGACCTCTGGTGGGCCTTATAAAAATTGGTAGCTGGCCTGAAGGAAGCTAGATCTCAAATACAATCACACTAAAAAAATAAGCAACAAAAACCAAAAGAAAAGATAGGAATATACAAAAAGGGTATTAAAATATGCAATTTACATATGACGCTGCATCGCCAAATGCAAATAGGCACAACCAAAATTAACTTAAAATGGAATCTCACCAGTCACATCACAATGCCTTAAAAAGAGGGGGCATCTGGACCCACGCATCAGTTTGCAAGCAGCGATAGCTCCACGTAATCCGAAGATCCATGTAATTCGATAGTCAACACAGACAGCATGAGCTCAAGACACCATTTGCATAATGAAATGCATTGGAAGGCTGTCCGTATATTGCAAGGTAGTGTAAGACAATCCATTGTTTCAAGACAGCTGAATGTGCATCATAGTGTCATCAATAGGCCATAGAATCGTCACCAAAGAAATCAAAATCCTTGTAGAAAACATGGATCTGGACACCAGAAGATTACCACAATAGCAGAGGACTGCTTCCTGCTGCTATGTGCAAGACACCATAGATCACTAACAGCAGGATAGCTGGTGTCACATCTCTCTGCTACTGCAGGATGGTCTATATACCACCAAACTGCATGGTATCGACTGCATCGCATCGACTATACACCCTGTGGTTCGTGTTCCCTTCTCCCCATTGCATGTCCAATCCCGCTTGAATTGGGTTTGTTAACATTGCAGTTGGACACTAGAGCAGTGGCGTCACGTACTCACTCTTAAGGACGAGTGTCAATTTAACATCCAGAACGATTCCCAAAAGGCAATGATATCAAGAGAGCCACGGACATGTTAGTGGGCACCAAACGTAATGAAAAGAGACCACTACAGAGGAAGAGGCTTATTTCTTTGAGCTGGGACAGCAATGAAAGACCGCACCAACTTCAGATTCCTAGTGGTTCCGTCATAACTGTCCGATACCATAATGAAATTCTACACCATCTTGTGCATTCTTTTATCATTGCAAAGGATACCGACGTGATATTTATGGACAATAATGCTCGCCTGCATAGAGCTCAAGTGATGCGGAGACTGGAGAATGAAATCATTCAACTGCAGTTGCCTGCTAGATCACCAGACTTTAATTCCATAACCCATGTGTGGGGCATATTATTAGGATGATGGATAGCAGGTTGCAGTGCATTCTCTACAAGTTCCCAACATGCATTACTGCAGGAATGGGTTCAACAACAAGTGATCAATGACACTATTGCTAGCTTGCTTCACCGTGCATTTCAACTAAACAAAATTTCAGCTAAAGCATGCATTTCAGCTAAAGGGTATCATACCCATTATTAGCATGGCACATTCTTCCAACTCATTTGGTCTTTTTTATGCAATGGTCATAATATATGCATTTTTGTGCTTCTTTGCTTTATTGTTTGCTATGTGGTACCGTAATGTCACGCCAACCTCTTGAATCAATTTCAAGCATATACATTAAATAGTTTTTCTTTCATTTCATATTTTGCTGCTTACTTTTTTAGCAAGAATGTAATATTACAATAGTGCATTTAATTTATTGCCAGCCAGATCATTACCTTAATTGCCTCTTAATAAACCAAAGTAATCAATATTCAAATGGCTGCCAAAATTGTGCCTGCTTCTGTTTCCACTTTCAAGCAAAACACAAATACCAGTTATACCTTACCTCTATTCCAGGTGTTTTTACAGGAGGTTTTCCTGGAGGCATTATTGGCCGAGAATATCCCATTAATTGCAACATAGCTTCAGCAGCATTACGTTTTGCAGTTTTTTTGTTCGGACCAGTTCCATTTGTACTTAAATCACCCAGAGAGCACTGATATAATAAAAAAACATTTTGTAAGCAATTTGTAATGCAGATGAATCATGTATAAATAGAAAAATGTAACTTTCATCAATTTCTGCAAGTTCTCTCAATGTAACTGTCATCAAAGTCTACAAGCACTCTAAAATCAATGAATAATCAATATTTAATTGATATTACACATATTATTTGAGTTAAAAAGTACTTCATACTCGATTATTGTAGCATGACTTATATGAAACTTAACAATTATCTTAGCACTCAGTTTATTACTACGAACACTGCAAAGTGGGTGATGCAATCAGACTGGAATTTACCGCTGATTTTAGTTTCCTGTAAAAAACTTCAATTATGACAACGAAAGTGAAGTTTAACAAGTTAAATATAACTAAATGACAGAACAGATGGGAATATCAACTATGCAATGAAAGATTCACATCAATATACCTGCCAAAGTTTCTTACATAAGATGTATTTCAGGTAGTGATCATAATCAAACTTTTACTAAGACAAACATTATCTGATATTATAGCAGAATTGTGGTACACCTTGCACGAAAAAAACTACACATCTTCTTCTATTGGGCTGATCGACAAAATTTAACTTGCGTTTTCCATCTTTTGAAAGTGCAAACTTATGATATATCTTAGATTTTACATATAGCATCATTCTAACATAGATACTCTGACATAAAATTGGATTTTCTGAAATAACTATTTTTTTCCCATTTTTATTCTATGACTCAAATTATGCCAAAGTGCCAAGTTTTGTAAAAATTGCAGTAGTAATTTTTAAAAAATTAGTTCTCGAAATTTTACCTCCAGTGTTAATTGAAGCAAAGCCATTGTTTAAAAGTAAAACTACTGAACTATTTCTAAAAAAATTTAATTATTATATGTAAAATATATAAAAGCCATTGTTTAAAAGTAAAACTACTGAACTATTTCTAAAAAAATTTAATTATTATATGTAAAATATATAAATATATATTTTACATATAATAATTAAATTACTTTTACACTTTTACATATATAAATATATGTAAAAGTAGTGTTTTTCATTTTAACTTTCATATGGTTGAAAGTTAATGAAAAATATGAAACCATATAAAAGTTAAACTAGTCAAATAATTTTAAAACAAAGGTTTCTGAACTCAACAAGAGGATTTAAGAACGATGAGCCCAGCGTTATAAGAAAATCTTGCACATTAAAAATAATTTTTATTTCAATAAAAAATATGTTACTCGATTAACTGTAAACTCTTAAACACAGTTCATTTTAATTTACCATAATTATTTATATACAAAAACTTTCAATGAAGCAAATTTAAACAGCATTTAGAAACTTAATTTCACTGGAACACTTCTTTTGTGGGTTTTATACTGTTATGACATGTTGAATATTATTTCACCTAGATTAAGAAAAAGAAACACATAACATGTAAAATTTTATTATTTAGAAAAACTATCAAATTAAGGTTATTTTCTTCACCTCGAAATGCATTGTTTTCTCTATACGAATTTCATATTCTGACAACACAGGTATAGTGGTCACATAACTTGAGCAGATATTTCTTATAAACCTCGTGTGTTGGCTATCAAGTAGAAAAAATGCTTAATTATGGAGCTACGTTTTGGATATTTTTCCCTTATTGAATGAGTTCAAAAGTTTCTAATATCTTGTTTTCTAGCATGAAATGTTTCACCAGTTTTTAAGGTTCTTTCCTAAGAATAATTCATAAAGCAGAAGTTAGTAAGAACAAGTAAGGTATACTTCAAATTTGATCTCTAAGCTTTCTTAGGTATGGCTACCAAATAAATGTTTTCGAATTCAACATCAAATTTTAAACATAATTTTCTTTTAATTTGTGTCTCAACTTTTATTTTCAAAAAATATGCACATAATCCGAAGTTTTATATAACAAAAGTTAGTATAAGAGGAGTGTGATAAATTAAATTATCTGTACATTCAGTCACTATTAAAAACTAATTCTGTTTAGATTATGGGTCATCCATCAGGAGGAATAGCCCTAAGAGGAACTTCACAGTTTCAGAGAGTAATTTAGTCAACCTTTTCTTTACGTATTAAGTACTTATATTTAATTTATGAATATAAAAAAGCACTTTTATTCCAATTCTGGTATTTACCAACATGTTTTATTCTTGTTTAATTTACATTAAGAATAATCCATATTTAAACAAATGCATATGTACTTTTCAAGTTTTGGGAAGGAGAGGCTGAAGGATCGTTTAGCAATGGTGAAAAGGGCACACAAGGGAAAAACTGTTGAGAATCACTGGTCTAGACTGAGCCAACTTGAATTGAATATAGAATTTTATACTTTAACACTTTGCGGGCCGCACATTTATCAAAGCGCCATTATGCTGCCACCGGTTCACGCAGGTTCTACTGCTCGCCAATGGTGATATTTACATAATTTTTCGTTGGTATATAATTATTACTAAAGAAAGCACTAAAATAACTGTTACAGTAATTTTCTTCCAATTATATTTTTTAATTAGTACTAAAACGTTTTATTTAAAAAATTTAACTCCTAGGATCCATAGTTCTTTTTAGTATGATAATTCTGAAAACATTTTCCAACATGCAGAGAAACGTTGCAGGAAGAACACATGTATGCAGTGGAACTTCTTTTCTTGGCGGCAGTGCAGACTTTACAGGCCCTTTCGCGGGTTTTGAATTCTCCCATTACCACTAATACGTGTTATTCTATGTTTTCTCATGTCCGTAGTAAGTCTGCCTGGTGGATCAAACCTCGGCGATCTTTTATCACATTGAGCAGCCGATCTTGATTGTTGCTCCTCTTCATTCCCATTAATCCATGCTAGTGCAAGGTTTAGTAAAAATTGTTTGAATCTAATAGGATTTTCAGAATTTTTTATGTATATCTGGAACGTGTTGAGTAATGCACAGTTTATGAGATATAAAACCTTTTTTTGCGAAGTATGGAATAACACGATAGGTATTGATCGATACCTTTCATAAATTTATTATACTCTTGTATGCAAATTGGTTTAATGCACTTCTTTTTGATTCTTTTACTCACACATTCGACCATGTCTGCTGAATGTATCGTAGAAATCATCATTATCAATTTTTTGGTCGAATTCCATTGACTTATTTTTCAATGTAGCAGATTTTAAACAATTTGGCACTCCTCTGCTTACTCTAATTGTGCCACAGATGTTTCTTTTATGCTTTAGTAACTCCTCTGCAACCTTTACACTATTGTAATAGTTGTCCATATACATCGTGCCATAAATTTAAATATGGCATAGCACGGACAATATTGTCACAATTAGCGATTTTCCTTGCACGCAATATATTTCTAAATTGCATATATAACCAGATGTTGCCTCGCACACCATACGGACTAAAATTCCATATTTTATAATTTTCGCAGAATTATATGTACGAAAAGATAGCCTGCCCCTCCATGGAATGACACCTTCATCCAGCGATAATTCTTTCTCGGGTTTATAAATGTTTTGAAACTGCTCTACCAGGTACGAGTAAACTGGTTTTATTTTATCAAGCCTTTCTTGGCAATGCTCATTATTACTGAAGTGCCAATACTTCCATAACTGCCGAAATCGGTTCCTTGGCATAGTATTCCCAAAAATAGGTGTATGTAATCCAGGGTGAGTAGACCAATAATCGTCTTGTTCTGGTTTTCTTACTATTCCCATTAGGATAACAAGCCCCAAAAGTTTTTTTCATTTCTACAACATTTGTATCAATCCAAGCTTTATTCTTTGTTGATGCATTGTTGTTATCATTATTCTGCTGATTATGATATAAGTTTGTTTGTGTGGCAAACAAATTAAATAAATCGTCCCCAATGAACAATTCCACAGTTGATAATATATCTGGTGTGTATGGTACCTGTAACCCAAACCGTTCCAGGCAAGCATGAAAGTTAGGTTTAAAATCAACTTCTGACCAATCATTTGCCACAGAATTCTCTTCATCACTTTCAGATTCACTAATTATTGGTCTTCCCTTATTTTTGAATCGTCTCACAATTATATCGCTCCCACTGTCCGAATCACTTTCACTATCAGAGCAATTATCCTCTTCTGATAACAGATCAGCATATATTTCCTCATCGAAGAGCATTTTGAAGGATATCTTTAAATCTAACGTAAGTTTCCGATATTTGAAGGCAGCGAAAGACAGTCTTAAAGTAACAAAACAAACATCCATGAAAAAAGATTTCAATAATAGACAGTCAGGTGAATTGGGAGAGGAAAACAGTTGAAACCAACGTTTCCTGATCGTCAAATGTTTTGCTATAGTACGTCAATCTATACAAACGTCAATGTGAAGCATCGTCGTTGGCGAAAATAAGTCATGCGTACATAAAAGCGACCGATAACTGTTGGCGAGCAAATGTCACACCACCGTGACAGCGGCCCACAAAGTGTTAAGGATCTTAAGTTCTTACTGTAGAGTCACCAGGGTTTATATATATATATATGTTGTATGATCTTAAGTTCACTTAGTGCAAAATTGAGTTATACTACTACTTGCGCAATTGGTAAGTTAATAATAATTTATTAAATAATATTGATTATATTATCTCCTAAGATTATTTATAGTAGAATTATCTGAAAAGAGTGAACCCACATTTAGTAAGTTCTATTTCAAAAGATGTTTTGAAGTAACTTGAATGTAAATTGTTAACAATGTTCAACGGGGACTTGAATTAAATCATGAATAACAAAATTTCAATTGCAAAAGGAATAAATTAAAAGCAAGTAATTAAATTTAATGCAAGTAATCATTGCCACTGATCAGAAATTAGTTGACTTTTCAAGGGGAACAAAATAACTCCCGTTCAATGAACAATAATTAAGAAATAAATACGAAGGTGTTTCGTCTTTTACTTGAGCAATAAGGTGATGCCAAACCGGCAATTCAAGCTAGTCCAAAAATTTAAGTGAAGAGAAGGTATTAAGAACCAACGCAGAGAACCAAGAACTCATTTCGATTAAGCATTTTAACTAATTCAATTCTTAGTGAAAAG